ACCATACCATTCCATACATTCACCTTCCTTTCAGACGTTCAAGCGGAGGCGCACTACATTATGTACATAGCATTAGATGCATCTCTGCATGTGATTGTCTATTCATGGCTAGATATGTTCATATGTCGTTTTTGGCCTGAGTTTGATGTCAGGCATGGTTCCCGGGGTGCTTCAAGTGGTCTTCAGTGTCAATCTTCCGGAAGGCTTCAAGGGAGGATTTCGAGGGACTTCAATGCTGGCTTCACGACGGAGCGGGTTCGCGGGGAAGAGACACAAGGTCAGAGCGGGTTGTTTGGGAAGAGACACAAAGTAAGACGATTTCAAGGAGAGGTCTCGAAAAACTTCGATGAGTACATTCCTTCTAGACACATATATACATGATCATACATGCATCTTACTTTTCTATACAGCCATAATTACTGTTCCATGCATACACCTTCCTTTCAGATGTTCAAGCAGCGTAGCACTACATGATAGCGTTTCCATGTCAGACTAGGTACTTTCTTTACAGACGACACCACCTTCACGGCACGTGCCGCTTCGAGGCCAGACTGCGTCCACCTCATGCTGGTTGTTTATTTCCACAGCTTTCTGCTTTTCGTCGTTTAACTCTTCTTGAACTTTCAGACGGCGGCTTGGACGATGACGAGTCGTGACATTTTAGTGAACTGTTTTTTTTGCCCCGTTTGCAGTCGTTCTTTAACTCTTCTTGAGCTTTGAGTCGGCGACTTGGAAGATGAGGAGTTGCGGTCTTCGCGCAGCTATCTGCTATCTCTCGAACCGTCCTCGTTGTTTCCCTTGTGCTCCGCTGCGACCATGCGTCGCCCTAAAACACGTACGGCATATGTCTGTGGAGCATTATACAACGAAGGCCTACCATGGACACTCTTCAGAGTGTCTTCCGAAACTCTCCCCGGCGGACGTCCACGTGGACGTCCAGGCCAGAGAAATACAGTACAGTCTTCTTGCGGGTTTACCTTTTCATATGCAGGCTATGCCCCTGGCGCAGCGCCAAGAACTGCAGGGGCTGCTTCGTGTCTCGGCTCCTTCCTTAACAGTGACACATGCAAGCACCATTTGTCCGAGGTCCGCTCTTCCGATCTGATTCCATGGAAAACAAGCGCCCAGGGGGCTGCTTCCTCCTTTGCAGCTAGCCGAACGAGCATACATCCTCGTGAGGCCTGCTCGGTGCGGAAGGGTAAAAACAAAAAAGCAGCTGGGGGCTTCGCGATGCTCATCTTCTGGCTGCAGCAGGTCTGCTGCTTCGCGTTCGTTTGCTTTTGTGCTCTTGTGAACTTCCAACAGGCGGTTTGGGAAAGACGAAGAGGCCCCTCACGTCTTGTTCTGTTGTGGTGCTTTTGTTTTCTCCTGTTAGGCATGGAGCCCCGCTCGTTAAAAGCGACCCAGTTGGCGGGGCCTTGCGTTGCGCTTTGTCACTAATATGCAGGCTATGCCCCTGGCGCAGCGCCAAGAACTGCAGGGGCTGCTTCGTGTCTCGGCTCCTTCCTTAACAGTGACACATGCAAGCACCATTTGTCCGAGGTCCGCTCTTCCGATCTGATTCCATGGAAAACAAGCGCCCAGGGGGCTGCTTCCTCCTTTGCAGCTAGCCGAACGAACATACATCCTCGTGAGGCCTGCTCGGTGCGGAAGGGTAAAAACAAAAAAGCAGCTGGGGGCTTCGCGATGCTCATCTTCTGGCTGCAGCAGGTCTGCTGCTTCGCGTTCGTTTGCTTTTGTGCTCTTGTGAACTTCCAACAGGCGGTTTGGGAAAGACGAAGAGGCCCCTCACGTCTTGTTCTGTTGTGGTGCTTTTGTTTTCTCCTGTTAGGCATGGAGCCCCGCTCGTTAAAAGCGACCCAGTTGGCGGGGCCTTCCGTTGCGCTTTGTCACTCGCCGTCTGCGCCTGAGACTTGCTCTTTTCACGCAGGAACTTCTCTGGCTTCTTGTTTTTCTTCCTTCCAGGCGGCCGCCGCCAAAGCCCGGGCGTCTCCGCCGGTTGCGTCCAGGGAGAGTGAGAGTGACGCGTAAGTCGTAAGTTGTCTTGAGCCCGTGTTTGATGCCATGCCACGAACGCCTACAAGTGACATCGGTGGCTCGGCGGTGACTGCCGTGGCATGTGCGCTCGAGACCTCTTTCCGCTGACATTCCGACGACTGGTCGTCGTGTTTACGTCCCAGTTGATCTTTCCGTTCCCCTTGCTGCCGTTGCTAAGTGTATTGCCTGTTTTGGCTTAGGATGCGACGTCAGGTTTTTATTTTTTGTTAGGATCGGCATTAGGTTTTTTGCAGTGCCTTGCAGTCCGAAGGCGGTCTCTCCACTTCCTTCCGCAAAATCGCAGATGACATTGCTTCCCCTGGTTGCCGTTGCTAGGTGTATTGCTTCTTTTGGCTTAGGATGCGACCTCAGATGTTTTTATTTGCTGCTAGGATCGGTGTCAAATTTTTTCAGTTCCTTGCAGTCCGAGGGCGGTCTCTACACTTCCTTCCGCAAAATCGCTAGATGATATTGCTTCCCCTTGTTGCCGTTGCTAGGTGTATTGCCCGTTTTGGCTTAGGATGCGACGTCAGATTCTTTTATTTCCTGCTAGGATCGGCATTAGCTTTTTTTAGTTCCTTGCAGTCCGGTGGCGGTCTTACACTTCCTTCCGCAGAATCGCTGGATGATATTGCTCCCCCCCTGTTGCTGTTGCTACGTGTATTGCCTGTTTTGGCTTAGGACGCGACGTCAGATTCTTTTATTTCCTGCTAGGGTCGGCGTCAGATTTTTTAATTCCTTGCAGTCCCAAGGCGGTCTCTACACTTCATTGCTTCGAGCGTTTTTGTCACAGTCGTTGACACGAACGGTCCCGAGGTGTGCGGTGGATTCGAGAGCGGATTTGGGGCGGTTGGGCCCAAAGTGAAAGCAGCAGACATGCATCAGGGTGCTGGATCCAAGGTGCAAGCAACAGACTTGGATTTGGGGTGCAAGGCCCAAGCTGAAACCACCAGATGTGGATTTAAGGGTGTTGGATTCAACCTGAAACCAGCAAACGCAGATTTCTGGTGCTGCACCCAAACTGAAAGCAGCAGACGTGGATTCGACAGTGCTGAAACCAGCTTGAAGCAGCAGCCGTGAACTTCGGGGGCTGGACCCAAAGTGACAGCAGCAGACGCGGATTTCGGGGTGCTGGACACAAAGTGAGAGCAGCAGACGTGGATTTGGGGGGCTGGACCCAAAGTGACAGCAGCAGCAGACGTGGACTTGAGGGTGCTCGACCCAAAGTGAAAGCAGCAGAGTGGATTTGGGGAGCTGAAAGCAGCAGAGGTGGATTTGGGGGTGCTAGGCCCAAACTGAAAGCACCAGACGTGGATTTAAGGGTGCTGGGTTCAAAGTGAGAGCAGCAAACGCAGATTTCTGGTGCTGTCGAAAGCAGCAGACCTGGATTTGGGAGTGCTGAAACCAACTTGAAAGCAGTAGAGGTGAATTTCGAGGGCTGGACCCAAAGTGACAGCAGCAGACGTGGATTTGGGGGTGCTGGACCCAAAGTGAGAGCAGCAGAGTGGATTTGGGGGAACTGAAAGCAGCAGCCGTGCAGGTGCTGAACATAAACCCAAAAAGAAGACGTGGATTTGGGAGTGCTGGACCCGAAGTGACAGCAGCAGACGGCGATTTGCAGGCCGGGGTAGCCCGCACCAGAAGACCTGCGCCAGCGCCTCAGCTTCGCGGTTTCACATTGCCGCTTGCAGGACCTTTTCTTGCTAGCGAGCTCCCTGACTCTTTGCTGTTGTCGCTCCCTGGCTCTAGCATGTTCTGCCACCGCCCTTTGTTGCCCCGAAGTTCTTGCCATGCCGGCGGCTCGCCAACAAGTGCCCGCTGCCAGCCAAGCCGTGCCTTCTCCGGCTGACCGCATCCTGCGCCTGCGCCGTGTCTGGCTCGACCTGATTCTCTCGGGCACCAAGACCGCCGAGGTGCAACGCGGCACCACAACTCCGGGTGGCGTTTGGCTGGGTTGCGCTGGTCGTGTGGAAGCCTTTGCGCTGCTCGGTCCGCCTGTCCGCATCACGGACTTGGCCTGCTTTCATACGCGCTTCACCTAGCACCGCATGGAGGTGCAGGCATTGCATTACGGCTCCTTCACGTACATCTGGCCATTGACGAACATGCGGATCCTCTCGCGACCTGTCTGCTTTCACAATATGTGCTGGCCCCGTCACGTTGCTTCCTTTTGCGCTGCCACCTCTCCGGCCTCTTGTCTCGCGTACGATCTCGGAGCTTGGCTGAGGGGCAGTCTGAATAGGACCAGTATATCGGAACCTTCGTGCTCGCTCGTCTTCCTGCTCTACCTTGCCATGTTGCTGCACGAAAAAGGCAGCTGCTATTGCTGAAGCATCCGCGTGCGTCGGGGTCGCCCAGCGAGGCTGGCGGCACTTGGATCCGCGACTCAGGTCCAGACGCAACTTGCTGAAGCACATGCCTGGCGGGGGGCCGGGCTTTCGCTTTGATAGTCTGCTCAGACATTTCTTCTTGAAAGGCGGGGGGGCACCTCTGCAAGATGCGGTCGCTGAGGCCTACTAGACTATATTCTCGCCACGCAGGTTCTTCTTTCCTTTCAGGCCGTCCAACGCGAGCTGGGCTGCGCAGCGCGCTGCTTGCGGCCGCTTTGTGAGCCCGATGCAAGTCATGCTTGGCAGGAAAATCGCTTCTTGCGGTTCTTTGCTGGTGCTTCTTTGCTTCAGAGACGCGGCCGAGAAACCTAATTCTGCAGATGTTAGGCGCGGCTGCAGCAGAGTAGCCGGGCCGAGTCGATGCTGGCGCTCGCGCCCGAAAAGTGCTTCTCTGCTGCCATGTGCTGCCTGCTGTGCATAGCAGAGGTTGCTCTGTGCAACATTTGTTGTGCTGGTTGCGTGCACTCTTCCGTCTCTGCATGCTGCAAAGCTGCACTAGAGATGTCACTTTGTGGCTGTAGCTGCTGTGCATCAAGGCTTGCTATATCCTCGTGCTCCCTCGGCACCACGGCCATGCTTCAGCGACCTGCCGCGAATCCGACTGGGATGGTTGGGGTTCGGGAGCAAGTGTGCTCCGCGACATCCAGCATCGTCGAGCTTGGCCGGACGGCCATCCCCTTGGGCGAGGACATGGCCAGCCTTACCTTCGCGCGCCCCATTGCAGACTGCCGGAAGCTGTACGAAGGACGCCCCGCGGAAGGCTGGGCAGTCAACGTGCAGGTGGGAGACTGGGTGCATTTCAAAATCAGCAGCTCCGGAGGGCAGGCGATCATCTGCCGTGTGACGGCCGTCCATCGTTTTGACTCCTTTGAGGCGATGCTTGCAACTCTTGGGGTTCGCACCTGTCTTCCTGACTCTCTTGGCGTGCTAGAGTCCTGCTAGAGGGCATCGATGTCTACCACGCCTTCTGCAGTCGCCACGGTACTCCATACGGAGAACTTGCTCGCACACATGGAGTTATTGCCCTGGCTGTCCACCCTTTGATCTCGGCTGGGTGTGCGGCGTGTCCCAGCGGTCAGGCGTGAAGATATACGAGGCTGCCCCATTTTAGAAACCTAAAAAGCCCTAAACCCCAAACCTTCAGCCCCTAAACTCAAGGCATAGGCCGCCCACCTCCGTGGGTGGGCGGCGCTTAAGCCCCTCGACCTCGATGGCGCAGAGCGAATGAATACGCCTGCCCGCCCCAGCCAGGCAGATTTTTGGGGACCTCGCCCTGCCCAGGCCCCGTAAAGGGACGGGCCTGGAGGCTCCAGCGAGTAGAGTTCAAGGACCTAGGAGCCTCCAGGCCGGCTTTGGGGAAACTTGGACAAAACTGCACTTTACTGTGGCCGGCGATGCCCTGCCCTGCCCTGCCCTGCCCTGCCCTGCCTGCCTGCCCGTCTCCGGGAAAACTGGTTCTGGTTTTTGCCTACTTAAAATGTGCATTTTAGCGTGGGCCAGCCATAATAGTCGAGGTCCCCTCCTTTCTTTTCGTGTGGCTGCTTTAAACCCTTCGGTTGAAGAAATAAAGAAAACCATAGAATGAGTTTAGGTGCTAAACCCTAAAAGGAATAGGTTTGGGTGGTTTGGCCGCCTTAGACGGCGTGGGGTGGGAGAGTTAAAAGAAAGAGCCATCCGCAATCAGGCTCCAACAGCCAATCGTCAGAAGACGACGCACTCGAAATTACACTGTCGCCAGATACTTCCGCTTATGCGCCACGCTTCGGCAAACCCTAAAAAAAACCCGAAACGCTAAACCCTGAACCCTTAAACTCTAAACCCTAAACCATAGCCCTATAGTAGCTGGCAAAGGCTCCAGGACGAGCGCTGGAGATGTCCCGAAGCGCTTTTCAACCCGAGCCTCGTAGGCCTCGCCACGCGACGCAAGATCGTTTGGGGATTTGGTGATTTAGGGGTCTAGGGTTTATTGTTCAGAGGTTTAGGGTGTAGGGGTTTGGGGTCAAGGGTTTACGGGTTTAGGGATTTAGGGTTTGGGGGTTTAGGGATTTAGGGTTTAGGGATTTAGGGTTTAGGGAATTATAAAATCCAGAGGTTAGAGTTTCGGATTTTGACTGCAGGGGTGGCCTTATATAAGGTCTACGGTGAAGAGTCGAGGTTTTGGAGTAAGAGTCTCCGGAAGGATAGGGCCCTAACGTGATACAGGGGCCTAGACACTTACTACTGCTATTCCTTGGGGTCTCTTTGATTGAACGATATTATAGCCCAAAAGTGACCATTCAGGCCCCTTGGTTCGAACGCTGAAGAGTAGGATCCTTGCTACAAGTACCCGTCAAGTGACGGCTGCTGCAACACGTTGGGTGTTAGGCTGCCCCTTGAGGGGGTTTAGAGTTGAGGGTTTAGGGCTCAGGATCCAAAGTCAGTGATACATGTCAGAGTTCCGTGTTTAACATTGCAGGTTCGGGTTGACAGTTCAGAGTCAGTGCTCAGCGCTCAGGGCTTAGGGATTGTTTGAATCCAGGTTTAGGTTCCCAAGTGAGTTTGTGGTTTTTTGGGGGTGACTGAGTTTGGTAGTGGCTTGTGGCCCTAGGCCCTTTTCCCAAACCCGAAAACCATGGCTTATCCAGCAGGGTTCGCACACGCTCCGAAGAGAGCTGAATCAGTACACCTTACACGTTTTGGGACAAGACTATATCTTATAGAACTGAGGCGTACACGTTGGGCTTATGAACTCAGCAACTAAATTTCTGAGTATATAGAAACTTGTAAACTTTGCGGGTGTTAGTTCAATCCCATACTCCCAAAGGTGAACCTTTTGCCTTTCGCTCCCTGGGATACTGGACAGCTAGGTGTGGACATGCGGAAGGCAGGAGAAAGGGGCGGCCCAAGCATAGGCTCGCTGTCACGTTCAGGGTCTAGGGTTTAGGGTACCCTTGCTGTCAATACGTGCACTCTTGTCCCAAGGACCCTAAACCCCAGCTAAGCTTCTTATATGCACAACATATGCTACTACTCTGCTAACATTAAACACGAAAATGTACAATAGAAGCATTATTCATTTGCCTGTCTTTTTTACTCGCGGTTATCCATTACTTTAACCCTGAATAGCCTACCTTTTCTGGGCTCTATATTATGATTTCTTTATATACGTCCTTAAAAAAGGTAGGCTTTTCCGGGTTATCCATTATATCTACTAGGTGCCAATCGAATCCGTGAAATCCCCGGCGACCAAGGAGTGCTTTGGCGTGAGCGGCATGGTCTGGGATAGACACTTGGAACCAAGTTGGGCTCGGGTGGTTCTGGGGTTTGGGACTTAGGATGGTGCACCATTTACGGCCCCTGTTCAAGGTTTAGTAGGGCTTAAGGTTTAGGAGTCAGGGCTTCGAGTTTAGGGTTTATGCTTTAGAATCCAAGGGTGAGATTCTTGGGGGCTTCGCGAGACCAAGAGCCACTTTGGAGTAGCGAAGCAGCAGCAAAAAGCCACAGAGCAGCTCCATTCTATTGGGGCATGCTGGCAGTTTGGATAAAATCGAAGCTGTGAGCCCTCTAACATAGGGTTACAAATACTTTTTTGGGCGGTTCCTTCTTATAAGTATAAGATAATGGGCCCCAAATCCCAATTCTAAGTATTAAGGCCCCTATAGTATAGTACCCTTATAGACACCTTTAAAGGAACCCTATTCTAACTATTACGGCCCCTAGAGGGTTTCATGGGGGGTTCATGGGCGATTTGCCACGAGGAAGAGCTTCCGCAAACCCTGAACCCCATAGCCTTCGATGCCCCCCTAAACCCCTAAACCCTAAATCCTAAGCCCCTAGCCAGCCTAGGTCCTGCATCTTATTTAGGGCTCAGGCTATCTAAGTGGTTGATGGAGTTTAGTAATTAGGAACTTGCATTTGTACAGGTGTCAACTCTTCGTAAAACCGTGATTCTAGTTTCTTTACGCTTAGACTAGAATTTCACTATGAGTTTCCACCCGAACACCTTGTTTAAGTCCCCTAGAAGGGCATTGGGGGGCAAAGGGGTTCAAAACCTCTCCGCCACCTCAGCTGAGGCATCTCCCGATGCGAGCTGGATGTGCGGAAGAACCTGCTGTCCAACGTAGTGCTGTCAGGAGGACTTGTGGGACTAAACGCCCTAAACCTCCTAGGCCCCAAGCCAAACCCCGAAACCCTAAACCGAAAACCCGAAGTTGGAAGGTTGCAAGGTTGCTCAGGACGCCCGAAGTTCTTGAATCTGAAGCCCCATATCCGCAGGCCATGGAAGTTGAGCCACCTCCTCGTAGAGTATTATAAATGCGTTACAGTATATTCTAGTTGGCGTAGACTACCATACGGTGAACTACAGCGGCTTTTAAAGGTATGCTATGGTACATTTTTCAAGGTTAAGCTTGTCAGGCTTGGTCTCTCGTTTGTTCAGATCCCGGAGGTTGAAGTATTCAATATGTACGACCAAGAGCCACCGCAAGAAAGGAACCAGCAGGTATTGAGCTTTTTCGGGTTCAGAGCCTGGGGTTTGATAGGGTTCAATGGCAGGGATCTATTTGGGGTATCTATAAGGGGTTCAGCAGAGCCGAGAGCAGCAATCTTAGTGCGTAGGCGAAGGTTGTCGGCGAGACTTGCCTGAAGGAGAAAGCGTGGCCTGCATTGGGGTTTGAGATCATCCGAAATCCTACACCCAAACCTCAGAAAGACCCGGAAGACCCCTATAAGAACCACAAAACCTAAACCCTATAAGAACCCATCAATACGCGACGAAGGCCCAAGAAGAACCCTGTAACAGACCCAGAATCCCAGTAACCTTAGTTTCTCGAGCCTAGAGCTTTATCCTTTCCGCAGGATGTACGATGTTTCCTGGCTTTAGCCTCCTGTCCGCAGGGTTTAGGCTTGTAAGTGGTATAGTCGGCGGTTGAGGGCTGTTGGGATTTTCGGGAGAGGGGATAAGATGCGGTTAGAGGGTGAAAGCTGTTTAGTGTTTAGCGTCTAGGATTTAGGGTTTACGGGCGGACAAGGCCGGTGTGCCTCACGCATGTTGGAGTAAGTACTTCCGGAACCTGGAATTTCAAGGCAGTCTCGTTGCAGGATCTCAATGATGGTCAACATCATACCCGCTTTTACGTTTTATAGAAGCCCGTCGTCCCTGGTTAAACGTACTTAAGCTGTGGACAAGACACCGTCAAGGCACCCAACTGGCACTTGCTTGTTGTACCCCGAGGATGGTTCCACAGGGTGCCTTCGGCTGAGCCTTTGAGTTTATCAGGAAAACCCTAAGCAACAGTAGCCTGCCAAGCCCAACACCAAGACATGGGACAAACCACTAGCCGACGAAAACGCTTCATTTCGAAAACACATGGGTAGTTGTCAAAATTATGGCCCCTTCTTGGGTCCCTATTATAATACGGCACCCAAAATTTAGGCTGCCCGAAAAGGGACCATAATTTTGACAACCGCCCACATGACAGTGCGAGCTTCTCCAGACCCCACGGGGCCAACCGGCCAAGAGAGCACGGCCAAACCTGTCCTAATTCCTTCAATCAAATGCGTTCCGAGGCGAACGACTCTCCAAAGAACTGCGTGCTCTCGCACCCGTGGCCGCACAGTGCGACATCCGGGTGCTCAAGAGCCGAGACCAAATCAGCCGCTGGAGCTGCGATGTACTGGCTTTTAGGGTGTAGGGTTTGGCGTTAAGTATTTGGGAGTTTCTGAAAATCAAGAGTACCTTATTTTGGGGTCTTTATAATCAGGATCCTACTATGTAGGGTTACTATACTAGGGTCCCCTATTTTCGGAAACTCCCATTTGGTGTCTCAGTCTTTGGATTCTTTGATTTACAGATTTGTGCAGAGGATTGAGGAGCCCTTCGGCCTCTCGTTGGAAGTGGCTCGGGGATGATACTTACGGTGTTCTTGAACACCGTATCTTGAAGTACGTTTTAGTATACTAGAGTATATTATCCGGTTTGGTATCCTGTGCAGAGGGTCCATATACCCTACTATAAATATTATCCATAATATGGAGTTCGGCCCTAAAAATCCATCCCCATCATGGTTTTGGGGACCTAATTCCATAATAGTGTTGCTTCTGGACCCTCTGGGCTGTGCTATTAAAAGGTGTTAAAGCGCGGGTTTTTGCAGAAACCCGGGGCCTGGTGCGTAGTGGTTTGGTGTCTGGTTTCGGCTTCGAAGATGAGTACGTGATCTTTTTATTGTCGGGTTCTCTAGTGAGGCCGCTACTTTAAGGGCTTCCTGCCTCAAGGACTCAAGCTCGGCGTGCAGTTTGACGTAGTTTGCAACTCCCAATGTGCTGACAGGTGTTTGGCCAGCTCAGCACCGCGCGTGTTTCCAACCTTCGAGCGTATCAATTGGCACGGGAGGGTATTCTCAATGTACCGCAGCACTTTGGGCAGGTGGGTTGATTGTCATGCTGCTGTGTTTTTCTCGGCATGGTGAGGTCCTTGCTGTGCACTTGAGACACCAAGGGTGCAAGTCCAGAGTCAGATCAGGCACTGGGTCATCGCATAAACGGAAATGCGCAACGGGGTGCAGGGGCTGGAGCACGAAACCCACTGCAGAAGGCTTGACAAGCCGAATGCGGGCCGGATCCTTCGAGCGACGGAAACGCTGGAAGACCTGTAAACCCTTAAACTCCTAAACCAGCAAACAAGTACCAAAAGCCTGCAGCTCGAAAACCTAGCTCCCCAGCTCGGCGCGAACCCCCTGAGGCCCTAAATCCCTGAACACGTGAAGTCCCCAACACCCCCAAATCTACCTGGCCCGAGTGAGTTGTAATCCCGAAACCCCGAAAACCATTTTGAAGAAAGCACCTACAAAACCTGAGATAGAGCACACCATACCCCATGAACCCAAAAAACCTTTTTGAAGACAGAACCTACAAAACCCTTGCATCGAGCACACCTATAGTCCATGATTTCTTCTCTCTGAGGTGCCGTTTGGACAGGCGGCCAGGTCTTTGCTAGCCTTCGCGAGATGCAAGAGGTGGGGTGTTACAAGCATTGTTATGATTATAGAATACATACCCCTGAAGCCCTGTTTAAAAAGAAATGAGGCCTCTATATTATGATGCCAGAGGCCTTTTCTTGCCTTCGGGGTCATATGAGGTTTCATGCGGTCTTTTTCAGGTTATGAGGTGTCATACCGTTCATATGAGGATTCGCCTTTTCTTGCATGTAAATAGGGTCATATGACTTTCACACGGCCGTTTTTTTTTTTACGATTCTAGGGTGTATAAGGATTGAGAGGCCTGTGCCGGTATAGCTTTGGTTTTTTTTATACGGTGATGGGCCATGCCAACTTAAACCCTAAACCCCTAAACCCTAAACTGTACATAAACCCCTAAACCCTAAAACCCTAAACCCCTAAAGGGCTCAAGAGCTCCAGCACGAAAGGCCGCTTCCTTCAGGCTTCAGGGGTTTAGAGGTTTTGGGGCTTGGGGGGTTTAGAGGCTTTAGGGGTGTTTGGGTTGTGGGGTTTAGGGGTTTAAGGGTCCGACGGCTTAGGGTGGTGAGGTGGGAGGTTGTCTAGGGTTTCGGGTCTTGATCACCTTAACTTTTTAATCTTCTTTCGAGGGTGTATCTAACATAGGGGCCTAAATAATTGCCAATACAAGTTTCAGGGTTCCTTATTATGTTTAAGTATAGTATAATGGGCCCCAAAACCCTACTCTCATTAGTAAGGGCCCTATAGTACCCGTGCTTCCTGGTAGCACAAGAGAGAAGTTTCGAACCTAGGAATCTACTAAGAACTGTCACATCCCAGAGGTCCACGAACAGAAACCGTTCATTTGCGGATCTCGATCCTGAAGGATGATAGACAACTTTATGCTTTAAGCCCTGGAGCCCGACTTTCCAGACAGCGCAGGAACTCTGGATGTCCATCGACGACTACGATGAGTACGGCGCGAGTCTCATGCACGAGAAGGTCGTCTTGAGCTCAGGGAAGCTGGATCGGGGTTACGCCGGTTACGCTTTCAGGGTTTAGGGTTCAGGGCTATCCGGTTCAGAAGGGGGCTCCTTTCTCGGGTTCCAACAAGGAGTTCCGAAAGGGCTTCTAGAATCGGTGTTTTTTTTTATATAGGCTTTCCACACAAGGGCCTCAATGTTTAGAGGCTTAGGTAGTGGTTTGCGTATGGTGGTAGTATAAAATGTTTGCGGCGGTTTACTGGTTAAATACTTGTTTAGAGTTTGAGGATTTGGGGAGCCGGCTTGTGATCTCAGGCTGTGTTATAATACTTCAGGTCTGTTCTGATCGCTTTGGTGCATCTGTGGAGACTTGTGGGCGTTGGTGTTGTTCTGGCGGTACTGCACGAGCCGAATTTTACTTCATGATTAGAGTAGGGTTTTGAAGTTTATGTTTCGTATATTAAAGATAAGGAGCCCCAGAATTATATAGTATCGTTAACTATTTAGGCCGGCGTATTCGATTGTTGTGGCTGGGTGACGCTCCCGAAACCGCCGGGTGCAAGCAGGGCCCACCACCGATCCTAAGACCCAAATGTGACAGCCCAGGCAACTCTCAAGCCCTCGACCGTTTCGGGCTTGTAGTCATAGCTGCAATCTGAATTATCATCTCAGGAAATTGGGGTCGTTTCAGGGTTGAAGGGTTAGGGTGTGAGGTTTTGCAGGATCTGGATCCCTCTACCAGAACTTGGTAGGATTTTGGGACATTTTTTGTTTTCCTTATTACCCTATATATAAATATTTTTCAGGGTGTTTAGAAGCCAACCCAGAGAAAGTCGTTCTGTGCCGATGTTGTTGCTGCTGCGGCAATCCGTCCTATCTGTCCGGGCTTTTCGGGTGGTGGAGTTGGACGGCTTAAGGTTGGGTGCTTCGGTGAGGGCATCGACGGCGCATGCGGGGGTTCAGAAGATCAAGCAGGTTCTAGGCGACCGAGAAGTTTAGGCGTAAGTTGTGTAGAAGTTTCGCTCAGCTTTAGGGGTCGTTCCGGGTCCTTTTGCTCAGTGTTATGGGTCGTTCCGAGTCCTATGGGGTGCTGCAACTCCCCATAACTCATTGTTGCACAAAGTGCTCGGAACTTTCCGAGCAGTGAAGAGCACAAACCGCCGCTGGCGTGACCCTCACACCCTGGACTTCCTAAGCCCCGCCCAAAAAAGAAAAAGAACCCCAAAGCCTACAACCGCTAGCACTCGATCTCCAGGTATCCGTCCCGCAGGGTGAAGCTTGAAGCCTTCGTCGTAGTCCTAGGCTTGAAACGCTGTTCGAAGCGCCTGAGGCCGTGAAATTCAACTAAGCGCCGAACTTCCGGCATTCAACCTCTACATCCTTGGCGCAGGCCTCCCCTGTTCAGGCTAGCTGGTTTAGGGGTGAAGGCTTCTGCTGCGGATGTTCTGAGACAATCTTGGGGTAGCTTTCGAAGTTGGAGCTTGCAGCTCGAGGGAAGCCGACAGCCACTGCTACTGCTGCTGCCTACTACTGCATTCCTGCTCCTACTCCTACATCTAACCCGGCGATCGAATGCCCTCGAAGTCTTTGATTGCTGCGCGCAGAAACGTCAACATGCAACCCTTCAAAGCTCTCGGAAGCACGGAGTCAATGGACAGCTGTCTGGATCCCTATGATAGTCCCTTAAGGTCCCCTTATAGTAGTCCCAATAACTCATTCCCCCATTCCCTGCTAAGAACCAGACGACAGGGCGCCCCCGAGATGGACGAGAGAACCCCCGGCAGCGGGAGGCTCCGATCGCCACCAAGCGAGGGTTCTGAAAGACCCTAAGTATCTACCTGAATTATTTTGGGGGGTTCCTTATTAGACTTATAGTATAATGGGCCCCAAAACCCTATTCTAGTTATTACGGCCACTTTCTTAGAGGGCCCAGATTTATCGGGACTTGGCATTGCCAGTGCTACTGCCACTGCTACGTTGCTTCTTGTGTAGGTATCTACACGATTCTGTTTTACAGCATAGCATTGTGAACGTTTATTTGGTATTTACTATCTCAACATACAAAATTAAAAAGCTGGAAAGAAGGTAAACTAAAGCTACAGGGAAAAGGTAGAAGAAAGGTAACCATATCGAGAGAAGGTGAAACAAAGCTACAGGGAAAAGTTGAAGCAAAGGTAGTCATATGCAGCAGCAGCAGCAACAACAACAACAACACCAACAAGTTCGCAAAAGTACTTCAGTACCACAACGACAACCACAACGATTCAGGACAACTACTTTTAAGTTACGACTAGTTACTAGTTACTCGTAGCTTGTCAGGACTACTGACTGCTGTTGCAGCTGACTTGAAAAAAACAGCTATGTCTCTGCTCTGTTCCAGCCTGGGCGTTTCGCATCCACAGGCTGCCTCCCACTCCCTTCGCACCCTCCCCACCCCTCCCCTCCCGGACAGGCTGGCTGGGGTTGACATTGCTGAAAAGCCGTCGCAAAGCTGTCCCAACCCACCGGGGCCCCCCCCCCCCGCGCCCGCGCCCCCCCGACGCCCAGACTCCCCCGCGCCCGCGCCCCGCGTCGCCCCCGCGCCCCCGCGCTCCCGCCCGCCACTGGCTTTGTGTCACCTTTTCCGAGCACCTTTTTTCCAGCTTTTTCCGACCCCCGACCCTCCCTCTGGAAAGTTAGCTTTTCCTAGGGAAAAGCTAAAAGAAAGGTGAAAAAAAGCTAAAAAAAAGGTGAAAAAAAGCTAAAAACAATGGTGAAAAAAAGGTACAAAAAAGCTGGGCGCAGATTCAGAAGGTAAAGAAAAGGTGGACGGAAAAGCTGGAGCAAAGCTGGCCTGCAAAACCAAAGCTGAAAAAAAGGTGCCCGGAATAGCTGGAGGCCAAAAAAGCTGCCAGCAAAAGCTGCAGGTCAGGCCCTGTGCACGAGAAAAGCCTTCCCTCCTCTCCTCCCCTCCCCCTCCTTCTCTGCGGAGGGGAGGGGAGGTGGGGGAGATTCTAGCTTCAGAGCTAGGGAGAGAAGGGGAGGGGACTGAAGGGTTTTTCAGACAACTATAATTATAATTAGTCGCATCCCGACATATATGTCTTCCAGAAATATAAACTGTCAGCAGACGCACGTGTGACCGCATGTGACTGGTTGTGACTTTCGGCTGTGTCAATGTAGTGAGTTTGCTTCAACATTCAAACTCTACCTGCTGCTCCTCAGCTCGTCACCTTTTCCAGATACCCTTTCTTGACCTCTCTCTTGATGTGTTACCTTCTTGTCAGCTTTCTCAGTTACCTTTGTTTTACCTCTCGTTTGCTGTGTCACCTTGCTTTCAGCTTTCTCAAATACCTTTGTCTTAGCTTTCCATTGCTGTGTTACCTTTTTCTCAGCTGTCTCACATACCTTTCTTTTACCTTTGTTTCACCTTTTTAATTATTTAAGTGTTTATAATAAATACCACCAATACACGTTCACAAGCATAGCAGGCATGTCTGCACATGGATAAGGGTACCTGGCCGTTCCTTTATTCCTTCGCCGCGCATCTGGCAAGACATCAGAGAAGCTGTCTGCCAGATCTTCGTTGATCGCCTTGCCGGCAGTGAGAGAAGTCTACCTGTCCCATCTCACTCATGATGTCCTCACTGCGGTTTCGGGTTGCTGTGTGCAGACTTAAAGCTCATGGGGTCGCTGGGGAGGGACATCTGGATGTGCATAAGCGGGCAAGGATAGAGCCAGCAGTTGTTCAGAGAGGCTTCAATAATCAAAGTAGTTTTAGGGTTTATTGGTTCGGGGTTTATCGTAGTTGGAAGAACAGCGGAAACGGCTGATATGCCCGCCCAATGTTTCAGGCAGACGCATCGCAGGCACTCATAAGGACACTGCCCACACAAGCACAGAATCTGCACAGTTTCGGAGTTGAGGTCATGTGCATCGTAGGAGTAGACTTAGGGGTACTTAGAAGTATTTTTTTAATTTTTGGTTATTATAATCGCTAAGAAACAGCTAAAATTGTAAGGTTTGCTAGGGTTCTAAGTTCAGTATAGTAGAGATTCCGGAGCTGCAAGGGGGAGCACCGGCTGCATCACTCGTGGTCAGAGGAGCTGTCTGGAAAACCTAGGGATCTAGATCCTAAAGCCTAAGTTTGACCCTAAACCGACAATGACAGAAACGAATCAGCGGAGCCGGAGAAATGAACTCTTGCGCCATGGCTCTAATAATTGCTGCCTGTGACGCCAAACCCTACTAAGTAGCAGGCTGTGACGCTTCAATTGAGGGTAGAAGCCTTAAAACAACAAGGTTTTTGGATCCCCACGCGGGGCCGGAGAATAGCTAGAAGTAGTGTTCCCTTGCAGTCGCGAGGCGAGTATACAGTACACTAGAAGATACCAGCAAGTCCTCTTCGAAGTATGAAGGCCGCTTTGCCATACCCTCTAACCTCCTCAAAAGACCTGCAAAACCTAAATCCGGCGCAACCCTGAACCCAAAAGGCCCATGAGCCCCGAATCGAGTGATTCCCTAAACCCTAACCCCTGAACTCCCAAAGCCTAATAGGGCTTATAGGGCTTAGGGTTTAGGGTTTAGGGCTAACCCCCCCCCCTGGTTCGAAAGGTTGAGGGCACTTTGAGGTTCAAGGCCCAGGTTGCAAAAAACCCCTGCATTTCAATCTACCTGGAGTCTTCATCGTAGCTCCTGCAGGGTTTAGGATTTAGGGATTAGGGTTTAGGTCGACCTTACAGGGTCCCCAATATACAAATGCTTAAACCGAAAAGCGAACTGCACTGGAGACTAGAGGCAGGTTGGTCGGAGTGCTGGGCTTTCTGGCCTCCGCAGGTTTATTTAGGGTCCCCTAAACCCTAAACCATCCTAAACCCTAAACCGTTAATTAGGGTCGTTTGGGATTTAGGGCTTTTTTTGTTTAATCTGCGGCTGCTCCAAGATTCTATGCTTGAAGGGACTCACTGCTTGATATGAGGGGCTGGGAAAGTATTGCTGTCCAGTTCATAGTCCCGCAGGTCATACCATAATCTGAACGGAAGAGCAGTCTAGTCGTTACGGCCCTTAGATTTAGGAATCTGGTGTTAGTGACTCGCGGTTTGGCATTCTACATTTAATCGTTTTGGCTCTGCAGTTTGGGGCGTTATTTGGGGTGGGTATGAGGCTGGCTTGTAGGCACAAAGAGCTGAGTGGGACTTGTGACTTTGGTACCGGATTGCCTTCTAGGTCTTAAGATCCCTTATGGTAGCCCTTGTAGTCCCCTTGAAAGGAACCCTATTCTAATTCCTCGGAAGGCACGCGCTAGGCAGGAGGACGAACGCAGGAGGTTTTCCAGCACACGCCCTGCCGACACACGACAGCAGAGCCTGTACATTACCAACGAAGCCCGGAATCGCTCAGGGGAGTTTCCTGCAGCAGGCTTAGGCATGCAGTGGCCTCCAGCTTTGATTTCCGCAAAGTGGCCTGTCCCGTTTGAGAAGGAGCACGAGAGTCTGAGCCTACTTCAATGCTTGCAGCTTCTTCTAAGCCGTGCTTAGACCCTCCCAAAACAGCCAAACTCTGCAAGCTTTGAGTGATTCCTCTAATGAGAATGCCGTTTTGCGAGTCCCTAAGGACGACGTCACTCCTGTACCTTGAATCCCAGCAGAGACCCGAACCATGATATCAATACTCCCATGAGTCAATACTCGGGCTTTCTTGACTTCTGCTGCAGCACGTAGCCGATCGCTTTTGCACCGCCTTGATAGCGGTAAACGCGCTAATGAATGAGCAAAAAGCGGAGGTTGATGCTAAAGTCCATACTTAGAGATCTACCGAAACCTAGACTTAAACCATGCTAAACCGCAGTTCATCTAAAACCTTAAACCCTGAACCCCTACACCATCCCAATCCCCAAAAAGAGGCCCAAAACTTCCAAACCCTAAATGCACCAAAAGCTTAGACCAGCAGTCTTGGTGGAGTTTTTGTCGGCATCAGCCCCTTTGACGCACTCCTGAATTCGAGCAGGAGTTTAGGGTTTAGGGCTTCGGGTCATTCGCACGGGTTCTATACGGGCTTCAGAAGAGGGTTCCTTAGTGGTCGAATGGGTAGACTTTGCACTTTGGGGCATAGTATTCTTTTTGTTTGGGCTTATGACTTTAGCAACTACGGTCCTAGGGCTGCATGCCCGACCTCACCCAGAGGCGGAGTCTAGCTCCAACAGTGGGGACTAAGGGTTGACCCTGAACTCCCTAAACCCTAGCAAAGCCCCAATCCATAAACCTAGACCCTAAGTCACCTTAGTAGTTAATACACGCTTGACGCCGGCCACCTCGGCCGAGGGGGTGGAGAACTAGATCAGGGTTTCGGGTTCAGGGCTTTAGCGTTCAGGGTTCTGGGCCGAGTTCACGGTTGAGGGTTCAGAGTTACGGTAATTAGGGTATTGCTACACTTTAGACTTCTGAGCTCGGGGTTTAAGCACCCCGTTCCGTCGGAAGCCGCTCATCCCGTTGAGTTTGGGGAACCTGTCATTCCCAGTTTCGATGAGGGCAGAGAACCCGCCGGTGAGGGCTCTCCCGGACTGTTCACGGATGGGGCGTACAGCGTGTGGGCTCATTGGTTCAGAAAGCCAGAATGCCCAACAATGCACCCCTAGTTTCCCCTGCGCCGGGCCGCTGCAAGCTTCAAAGCTATTGATATCAAAAGAATGCAAGTCTGAATGCTGTAACCCGTCATAGTAATCCGTTATAGTCCCTACATAGTCTTAGTAGAACAAGATGTACCCCCAAAAGCCCGATTATACCCCCAAAGCCCGATTGAAACTACTCCTGCCTTCGTTATATCAGAGCCCTGACCACCATGTCGGACTCGACGCGCGTCGAAACTCTGAGTTTGATGTTCGGGCTGTATGCAGTTCGCGTAATCGAACACCACTCTCCTGCAGACGGAACGCTAGGCCTAATCCCTCCCCAACTCCTAAGCCCAAGAAGCATCATAAAGTCCTGCTCGGCACCTACAAAACAGCGATGGCGGCGGTGCCCTTTTCGACGCCGGCGCTGGTGCGGGTATGAGTTTAACCTGAGCACGTCCAGCCCTAACCTCGTGAGCCTAAACCCTCAAGTCTTTACACCCTGAGCCGTTAATATAGGGGCCTTAAATAATTGGAACAGGGTTTTGGGGCCCATTATACTAACTATAATGACAAAAAGGAACCCCCAAGATAGTTTTGGAGTTTGTCTGGGCCCCTACAATACTTTACTTGGTTCGAGAAGGGACTGGCCATCAGCATAGGAGCCACTGGGCCCTTCGCGTATGCTAGGATATCGAGATAATAGTCTCGGGCTCTCGCTTGAAATGATAGGACTTCGGGTGCACAGGCTTCGTGCTGCTGGACTGGTACACATCCGGTTTAGGGTTTAGGGCTTCAGGCTTGTCAGCACTTCTCATTCACAGTCCTCCGGGCCCAAGAGGGCTTGATTTCCCTGGCATCACACCCCCCCCAATCTCAGGAAACCATAAGCCCTTTCAGGGCCATCACGAAGCTCGCCATTCGTTTGTCCTTGCAATATCTTCTCATTCGCGGCACATCAACATGTCCCATGTCCAATCTTTTGTGGTCGTTCAGTGTCCAGCTTGAGGCATTGCGACACCGGCTACTGCTGGTTCCACTCCTCTTCCGGGCCCTAAGCCCTAAACCCCCAAACCCCTACACCCTAAATCCCTTTGTCTTGATATCCCGGCCCGACCTGCTCACATCCCTAATCATGACTCCTAAATGGGAGTCCTTATAATAAGGATCCTGCTATTTAGGGTACCATATTGGGGTCCCCTATTTTCGGAATGTTGAGGATGTCGCTTGCGAAGTTAGCCTAAGCCCGTACACCCTTAGATTCCTAACTCCTGAACCCTAAAACCCGAACCCCCAAACCCTAAACCCCGAAACCCTAACCCCCCAACCCTAAACCCCAAACCCCTAATCGTGATTCTTAAATCCTAAACCCTAAAGCCGACGTCCCCAAGCCCTAAGCCCAGAGGCTGCTTCCTCACTGCTCCCGGCTTTGCAGGAGCTGGCGACGGCTTGGACGGAATGGCCCGGCAACAGTGGCTCAGCTTCACCCGGAACCTGACAAAGGTGAGTCGGCTTAGGCAACTTAAGCCGCAGCACCGGGATCCCCAGCTTAGTGTTAAAGCTCTTAGAAAATATTAATGTATCAATGGTAACTTGAGCTGATATTCAATCAAAAATATTGGAACATCATAACTAAAATTATTGGAATTAGATACCGGAAAAAATCAAACTTCCGATAACATCCTTATGCAACCCTTTGGTTCTATGGCTTTGGGGCTGCACTTGCTAACCACGGTTTGGCGTTCAGGGGCTGGCACGACAGATGCATAGAGGGCGCGACTGAGTGTTTGCAAGATCGGCTTTACTGGTGACAGGCTCGGCTTGTAGGGCTAGGACCTAGAGTAGGCCCTCATTCCCTTTTTGGGGGTTCAGGTTCCCTTATAAGCCCCTTTAAGCCAAAAAGGGCGCCCTTTTTATTCCAAACACCGAACCCTTTGTGGTTAGACTGTTCTGACCTGGGGGCCCGGAGACTCCAATGTCCCTTAATTGAGGAATATACCTAAAATTATTGTAGGATCCCTAGTATGATTTAAAGGAATAGCCCTTAATCAAGGGATATTGGAGTCTCTGTGGGCTTGGGAGGGTTCAAAATTCAAAACTCTGTGCGCGGCTTGGTGATTTGTCTGCACTTAAAACAGGGCTCGTAATATACAATCTAGATAGTTGCCAATATTATTCCTTTGGGTTCCTTATTATCGTGAAAGGATTAAGGAGCCCGGAGCCCTATTCCAATACTTAAGGCCCCGAAATTAATCAACAGCATTTCCTTGTAGCCCCTATGTAACTATGTTTCAACATACCACCTAGCCCTATTCATAGTAGCCTTCATATCGAGCCCTTTAAGCGGAACCCCTTACAGTCCTGTAGAACCCTTGCAAAGCCCTTATGGAAAACGAGGTAGCCAAGAGCCATTTCCGAATCACGACTGCGTGAACGTCCCTTTGCCGGTGCTGGAACCTGGGCGCAAGTGTGACGCCGGAAAGCCTCATGCATGGCTGTTAGGTGTTAGGGCAGGTGTAAAGTTTTTTCAATGTTCCGGGGTTGTGGGGTTCATAGTTTGGTCTGCTGCTCAGCGCTTTGGAGTTTAGGGACTCGCGTGAAAGTTTGGGGGGTTTGGCCTAGGCTTTAGAGTGTTTTGTGGCTGTGGGTCGGGTTGCGGGGGTTCGGTTTGGTCTGGAGTTTGGGGCTGAGGGGCTGTGGGTGTAGGATCCCTGCGACATTTTGAACGTGGGTATCGCTGCGTGGGTGCCTTGCACATCAGATCTTGAAGATATTAAACGTGGGGCGTGAACAAGTCGTAAGATGTGTAACGCCCTCTCAGTCTCTGTATACATACATTATGCAATATGCCCTGATAGACAGCATGGTCGAACTGGCCAAACAATTAAACATAAATCCATACATCATACTGCATGCCGTTGACTTATCCATTGATCCATGCATCTGTTCATCCATGCATACGTACCTACATACATGCATCATACGCAAATACATATACGCAACAAAAATGGAGTTCTGGTCTGATCATTCCCTGCAGGCATGTCCAGTATGGAAAGGGGCTTTTGGCGGTGTGTGCATTGCACCCGTCGTTCCGGCTCGCGTATTTTGGACTACAATTTTTGGAGTTGCGTGTTTTGGTTGGTTCAGAGTCTGACCGATCGCTGGGCTTGTCTGAAAGGACTGGGATGCACTGCGGAAGAACCTGAAAACCACTTGCGGCCACACGCGCCACTTCTCTGCAACAAAGGAAGCCCACACTTCTTTAAAGGGCAATCCCAACAACCACCTCAAAGCCCGGCTAAACCCGTTCGTTGACATTAAAACCCTAATCCCTAAACCCCTAAACCCTACACCCCTAAACCCCTAAACCCTACCCCCCTAAACCCCTAAACTCCTACACTCCTAAACCCCTAAACCCTACCCCCCTAAACCCTACACCCCTAAACCCTACACCCCTAAACCCCTAAACCCTACAACCCTAAACCCCAAAACTCCTACACCCCTAAACCCCTAAACTCCTACACCCCTAAACCCAAAAAGCCTTTCAAAACGCCCAAAGCCACGGAGCTCTCAACCGCCCAAGGCCCTTTGTAAAGGATTGAAAAGCTTGAGGAACCCAAGAGCCCCAGCGCTCTGAGCATAATGTGGGGGCCTTTATTTTTTGAATAGGGTTTTGGGGTGTATACATATATATATATATATATATATATAGCGATATATATATATATATATACATCTGTACATGCACATATATGTGTTTTTCCTGTAGCTATAATAATGAGGAACCCCCAAAACCATGGTCTAATTATGGGCTACATATGCTATAGGTATATAAGGAACCCCCCAAAACCATATTCTAATTGTTAAGGCCACTACATAACGGATGGCCAGGCCGAGCAGCAGTCTTGTTTCAAGAGTTTCGATTCCGTTTTGAAGCCTGAAACCTGAACCTCCCTGAAGAAAGAGGATGTGAGAAGCAATTACCAGCAAAATACAGCGCAAAAGGTTTAAGCCTGAAATCAAGAAGGCTGAAGACATTCTGACCTTGAAACCCGAGCCTTAAACCCTCAGCTCCAAAACTAAGCTCCCTGCACGGTCACGGTTGCAGTTCCAGGCGAAACGCGAACACTAAGCTGCGCCGCCACCGTACTCGGGTGGCAGGAGCTCTTCTTCGGGAGGAAATCTTCATGTAGGCTTAGCTCCGAACCTTTGTTGGGTTTGGGTGCGGGGTCGTGAGCCTTGCTGTAGGTTCAAGATGTTGGATGATATTGGATCTGTGCTGTAGGTTGAAGACATTGGGCTTGGGTGTACAGTGCATACAGACTAAACCCTAAAACCCTAAAGCCCTAAACCCCTAAAACCCTAAAACCCTAAACCCTAAACCCCTAAAACCCTAAAACCCTAAACCCCTAAACCCCTAAACACCGAACCTCCTAGAGCCTAGAATCCTGCCCCTGGAGCGGCTGAAGGCTCCTGTGACCCCACAGCAGGTTCGAAGTGGACAGCGTTTCTTACCTTTGGTTAGTAGGGAATGGAAGAATGGTAGTCTAGGAGTTATAATTGTACCACATTCCGCCATTCCCTACTAGCCAAAGGTAAGGTCTGTGACCGCCTGTGTATCCTCACTACTCGTACAGAGTGAATTGAGGGGACTAGTAGACGGGGTCATAACTAAAGTATCCCTACCTACAAATACTGGAATCTTATTCCAAATACTTATCATGTCGCTCATGACGAACGGCCCTTGAGCCTTGAAATCTGCGCCCTCAACCTAAAAGCATGGAACCCTAACCACTAAGCCTAAAGCCCTAAAATCCGAAGCCCTAAACCAGTACACCCCTGTAGATCACTGCAAGATCTCTTTCTGTTCCTTCTCTGACCCGCAAAGCCCTATCCAAGCCACAAAACCCGAAGCCCTAACCCTTGAAGCCCTGAACCTCTTATCGATCCCTCTTTGATCCCTTATCGACTTTTTGGCCTTAAACCCTAAACCCTAAAGACTCAAAGGGGAAAAGCAGGGACCCTTAATGGGGCCCACTACCCTATAATGGGCTATGTAATGGGTATATAATAGCTATATTAAGGGTATATACCTAGGGGTCCTTATTAAGGGTCCCTCCTTTTACCCTTGGATAGACCCTTCTTTGTTTATCCACCTGGGCAGAACCTGATCATCGGCTTTCTCCGAAGCCTGGTCCCGCCCGGAATGCCTGGGGACGAGGAGCAGGGAATGCTTCGGTTCACTGGGTTTACCTTAACCCTGAGGAATTTCCTTATATAAGTCCTGAAAACGGTAGGTTCTTCAGGGTTAAGGTAGGGCTTAGGGTATCTTATGCAAGACTACAACTCAAATCAAGGTAGGTATCCCATGGCGAGAAAAGTCTTGTTTGGACAAGAAGAGGCCTAAGCCACAAGTAAGACAATCGAATATCGTAGAAAGAACATCTCAGAGTAGGTCTGGAAATGAGTCGAAAGACCTCGTGGCAACGCTTTGGAATAGTTACCATGCAGATATCTTGCAGGAAAAGCATGACAATACCAAACACAGCAGATATGTAGTTTTGACTTGAAAACTCGCCCAAGCCCTAGCATAGGTTCTTAAGAAGGAAGACCCCCGGTACAGAACAGTTATGAGTTCCCCTCCTTGTTGCTTATTATAGAACCCGAATTATTCTCAAGTCTGGGGACCTGTTGAGATCGACACCTAGTACAGAAATACCTGCTGCCTTGCACAGGACTTGATTCTCCTGGAGTTCGAGGCACATCTGACTTTCTCATCTCTCCTCGAAGCTGAGCTTTTGGGCTCCAACTCACTCCCAGCACCGCACACCGGAAAGCAAGAACATGACAGTAAATAAGTTCAACAACTGAAAGGACAACAGGGAGAGCTCCCTCTCCCTCCTTGTCGCTCTCTCTCTCTGTCTCTCTCTGACTCTGCTTCTCTCAGTCTACACATACACATATATATATATGCACATATGTATGTATGAACATATACTATATATATGCATACACAATGCATGTCAGGCCGACAGCCTTACAGTGCAGAAGGCCAAACGCAAGCCTTCGACTGACAAATCCGGCGACGTGCAGACAGCGTCCAAACCCTGGTGATCCTTCCACCACGATGACGACGATGATGCTGTTGATCATGGGCCCTTAACCCTAAACCCTAAACCCTGAACCCTTAACCCTAAACATGATCATGATGATTGGCTTCCCTGGCGAATGCTGCAGGAAGCAAAAACCTCTGGTCAGTCGGGAGAGCATTTTTGTTTAGGGGTTAGAGGGTTGGTGGGGGTTTTGATACAGGATTTGCTTGCGGGATAGATGCCTGAACAATTTCTATGTCCATTCCATAGGCTTCCATATGATTGCTATCTTGCTGTGAGAGCCCCCCCAAGCCATATTCTAATCAGTCGGGGGGGGCCCTTATTACAAACGTAGTTCAATATACCCCAAAACTCAATTCTAATTATCAGCGCCCCTACATCCCGAAATCCCCTATAGAGGCCTTATAGCACCCTTACAGGACCCTTAAAGGATCCTTTAGAGGAACCCTATTCTTATTATTAAGGCCCCTATAGTCACAGGCATCCATCGGAAAAAAAGGCCCCTATAGTACTTGATCAAACCAACCCTTGGGGCAGGCGCTCGACCGACTTCTGCCAGCGGCATATGCGCAATGCCGACTAGGTGTGGTAGCTTTCGCGGATAACTACTCGAAGCATACTACACCTAAACCCTAAACGCGAATGTATGGACCCAAGATATGAGGGAGACCAGTAGATTTACGAAGCTTGGGTTGGGCTGGGGGAGTATGCCCCCATCTATGGATCCCCTCTTCGGGCTTTAAAAATCTTCGGAATGTTGAAGCTGTGGTTTTTTTGGCGCTTTCAGAGACGTTTGGTTTGAAGCCGGACCTCTCCAAAGTTGTTGGGGCTCGTGATGCCTTGGAGGCTCCAATATCCCTTAATTAAGGAATATACCTTAAATTATAGTAGGATCCCTTATATGATTTAAAGAATATTCCTTAATTAAGGGATATTGGAGTCTCTGGGTGCCTTGGAGGCATTCTGGTCCTCTACGTGGCCCGGACGCTCCTCTGCCTGCTGATGAGACACCCGATGCACTCGGCAGAGATGAGTGGGTCAGACCGGTGATGATGACGATGACATGACGACGGCGAGGACGAGGAGGAGGAAAGGAGGAAGAGGAGCGGGAGGAGGAGGAGGAGGAGGAGGAGGAGGAGGAGGAGCAGGAGGGGAGGAGGAGGAGAGGGAGGAGGGCTCATTGGTGGTGCTGGTGGGTGGCGGTGGGCTTACGATGAAGATATATGCTGGTTTGCCGCTACTGTTGCATGAAGATGCTGCCAGTGATGAGAGCTGCACTGATGGATTACTAGGTCGGCTGTTCAGGAGGTGCACAGTGGCTTTGTGTGAAGGCGAAGCCCTGACTTGCATACCGTAGTTCGCGGTTTACAGCTGAGGAAGTATGTTGGTTCACCGGTTTCTTGCGGGTTTGGGGGACTTGGAGCTAAGGAGACGTTGATTGCTACCTCAAGCACTCTGCGTGGCTCTCGACAGAGTTGTAACTTGGTATTGCCCAAGATCGCACGTCGGGTCGAGCACATTCAACCCTAAATCCTAGTTGGGCGTAGTCCTCGTCCTCGAGTTGAGTCAGGGATCTGGCCTGAGGTTTATCGTTTCGGGTCGATGGGTGAAAACGGCTTCAAGTTGTAGGGTTTAGGGATCTTCTCAGGTACAACACGCCTGTGACCATCATCATGGGGACAGAGTGGCCCATCTTCGCTCTCCTGAACTCCTACGATTGGTCTCGTGGCCCCAAGGTTTAGGCCTTTAGGCCTACCTTTCGTAGCTAAACCAGCCAATCCTTAGAAACCCTAAACCCTACATATAGATCCCTTCAAGGGAACCCTTTAAAGGTACCCTTCATAAATGCAGGAAAGAGAGAGCAGCGCTTCTTTGCTATTTCACTGTAGCCCTGAGCACAAGCACACCTCCGATCGTCCTTCTCCCCGTTATGGCCTACAGAAGAGAGAACCCTAGATCTGTAAGGGCTCCTTTAAGGGTTTAGGGTTGAAGGATTAAGGTACCATAACCTTAGGGTAGAAGAGGGAGCCCTACTGGGATTTTGGGGTTTAGGGTTTAGGACAGTAATCCCCATAAAGTTGGAAACCTGATAAAGGCCAAATACTGCCGGGATTCCCTATACATGACTCAAAAGGATTGAGGCTATGGGGTTTCCAACTTTTTGGCTTCTACTGTAAAGTGTTTTGGGTTTGGGCTGTTCTTTGCGGAGTGCAAGGCTTGCAAAATGGGAGTTTCCGAAAATAGGGGACCCTAAGATAGTACCCCAAATAGCAGGATCCTCATGATTATACGGAACCCAAAATATGGTACCCTTAATTTTCGGAAACTCCCAAATCTTCATATTTTAGTGGTGCATGTTGCCTGCAGGACCAAACACCCCAAAACCCGAATACCCAAACGGTGCTGTGTACCTCTGCCCAGGTCGTACCCGGGAATACCGCCGGGCAACGATTACGACACTTTGCCAGCAGTAAAGGGCCAATCTGAGTTGTAAGGGCTCGGAGTAGAGGTCAGAATAGGGTTTAGGGTTTGAGCGAATGTAGGGTGGATATGGGAGTTGTTTGTTATGAGCTCTTCCTTCCCCTGTATTAGGGTGCAAGGGTTCAGGCATGGACTCGAGGCGGCCACTGGGGCATACAGGGCTCAGGCTTGAGGATTATCTAGGCATTCTCTGTGTGGGAGTCTCAAGAAGACCCCCACCCAGCAAGAATTGGAGCCCTAAACCTTAAACTCAAAACCTAAACCCTCAAAACAAAAAGAAAACATAGAACAAAAACCTAAACCCTAAAAAAAAGAAAACGTAAAACAACAACCTAAACCCTAGACACCCGATCCTAAGCATGGAATCCGTGACGGATCAAGGCGAATTGTCATAAGAACCTGCGGGCTTCGGCTGTAGGTTGTCCATAAGGGGTTTAGGGTCTAGGAATCCTTGAAAATAAGGGGTTTAGGGTCTAGGAATCCTTGAAAATAAGGGGTTTAGGGTCTAGGAATCCTTGAAACGTTAAGGGTTAAGGGCATCAGGGCTCCAGAATGTTCCAGAAAGGGTCTGTATTTAGTGATCCTTATTATAATTTGAAACGTTTAGGGCATTGAGCGTAGCGTTTAGGGCCCCTAGGGGTGTAGGGTTTAGGGGGCAGGGTTTCGGGCGTATTGCATGAGCATGATCAGCACGGTTGATCATGTGGATTCACAACATGCAAGCTCTTGTAATTAGACAAGAAAGAAACTCTTCGGTGTCTCTGCAGGTTGACCATCAGCACCTGAAGATCCTGGCTGCCTATGACTTGAGTTTAGAGTCCCCCATATAATATCACCAGTGCAATCATAGTGGGAGCTGATGTTTATTGTGAGCTACATCCTGAACTCATAAGCTCCTTCAACCATGGTAGAGGGCCGTAGAGTCAAGGACGAAAGCATCCGTTCCAGGGGAGTTGCGGGGTTTCGGATTAGGATGGCAACTGAAATCCACCTGGATACCTGAACCATGAGCTGAGGATTGTACCCTATCGAACACGAGTACCCTCGACTGGCCACGGATGCTGAATGCGCTGCAGGCAAGGATGCCTGACGGAGTAGTTGAATCGTAAGCTTCGCTTTCGTATCTGTGTGGCTTCACAAGGTCATTGTATGGTTTTGTTGTCCGGTTTTGGAGGGTTTTGTTAAGGGTCCAAGGTAAGGTGAAGATAGATGAACACTCCTCTCTTCTTCTAGTGCATTAAGATGAGGAGCCCTGTACTTCAGTCACGTTCCGCAGCCCAGAGCAAAGAACAAGTCCCGGGTGGTTTAAAACACTTACGTCCTGAACCCGACTTCCTGAACCTTACACGAATGTCACACCAAAATCGAGGGTTTGAGGACAACCCCGAACAAAGAGTTTACGTACAGTGCTTCTGCCTGCGAAATTGGAGCATTTTCGCTGCAGATGCCCCAGAGACGGATCCTGACAGTGACGATAAGCCCTGAACCCTAAGCCGTCGGGAAGTACACCTAGACCTACAGCCCTAGACGGCCAAAAATCTTGAATCTTAAACCTTCAGGACGTACGGCTAAACCCTCAACCCTTAGCCCGAAGGACATCCAGACCCTATACGCCTAAATTTTAAATCCTAAACGCTAAGGAAGTATCTAAATCCTAAACTCAAAGCCCTAAGGAAGTACCCTAAGCTTATCCTGCGAGGATGACCCACGTCGGCCGAAAGCAAGTTGGTGGCTCGACCTGCTTCGCACATGGAGCTGCACTAACGAGGGTTTTTGGCTGTAGGGGCCTTAACAGTTAGAATAGGGTTTTGGTATCCTTTTTAGGATACTCTTGTGGAATAAGGACTCCTGGGAATATTATTGATAATTGGTCTTCTACACTAGGCGGTAGGGCGTTTAGGATTTGGGGTGTTTACGGCTTCAGGTGTTGAGAACGGTTTTGCGTTTAGGGCAAGGAGGGTCCTGCTTGTCGGTATCATACAGTGGTTTCAGGGTTTGGGGTAAAGTGTGTCATGGGTGGTGATCGCCATTTTCAATGTTGAGGTAAGTTCAACAAGCACTTGCAGACTTCCGGCCTCGTGATACTGTTGATGGACAAAATCCTGCATTACCCATTATAAGGAATATACCATAGCTCCCATAGGTTAGAGTCCTTAGGGTCATGCAGGATTTTGTGAATCAACAGTAGTACTGGGCATTCAGTGGAGCACGACGGCCTGGGGCCGAATGTCACGACGCTAAGCACCTTCGGGTTTAGGGTTTCAGGGTTTTGGGGGTTTAGGGTTTGGGGTTTCAGGGCTTCTGGGGTGTAGGGTTTGTTAGGGTTTGGGCTGAGGCAGGTTAAGGGAAATCTCGCTTGAGGCAGAGGACTGAGACCAGCGGATGACACAGACACCAGCGGTTGAGAACAAACATGCCTCCTATATACTATCATATACTATACTGTACTATCATATACTATACTATAACTATCATATACTATACTATAACTATCATATATATATATACTATACTATACTATCATATACTATCGTATACTAAACGTACTCATAAACTATACTAAAACACAATATGATACAATGATAATACAGTACTCGCATCACATTGGGGAACCTCTGCCTCGACCCTTAACTAAATGGCAGTTTCGGAATTTTGGGGGCTGAAAGTTGGAGTGTCGTGGGTTTCGGAGCTCTGGGAAGCATGTGGGAGTTTCCGAAACTTAAGGGTACCCTATTTTGGGGTCCTTATAATATTAAGGATCCTACTATTTAAGGTACTATATACTATTAGGGTCCCCTATTCCTTATAATATTAAGGATCCTAAAGTTAAGGTACTATATATTATTAGGGTCCCCTATTTTCGGAAACCCCCAAATTCCTGCGCCGGGAAACGTTTCATTGCAGCCTAAAACCTCACCCTGAAATTCTGACTCGAGAATCCCCGAACTTGCACCCTTATCTGCCAATTACAGGCTACACCTTCGACACCAAGCTGGCCACATCCATGTACGTGAGCAGCTTCGAGTGCCTCTACGGTGTCTATGTCCTGAACATGGTGAAGGAAGCCCAGACGAAGTTCAGGATTTGGTCATTCGGGCCTACTATGAAGCCTGAATACTTACCAGTATCATTGCTTAGGACTCCTTATGCTACAATACAACCCAAGACCCTGTAGGCCCCCGCATTATGGTAGGCCTTGCTGGTAAAGGTGCCAACAGACTCTGGGGCTTTGGGATAGGTTTGACAGGAGACAGAGAAGCCTTCAAGCGTAAACAAGCTCTTGTAGAGAGAACGAGGCATATATACGTATACGTATACATATTATATACATATATATACATATATATATATATGTATCACAGACGGACAGACAACCAGACAGACGAATAGAAAGACAGATAGACAGATAGATAGATAGATAGACGGATGAGCAAGTAAACCTAAACCCCAAACCCCATACCCTAAACCCTAAAGTCCTAAACCCCCTAAACCCTAAAACCCCTAAGCCCCAAAACCCCAAAACTATCCTGGCAAGGAATGCTAACTGTTCGGCTGTCGGAAAAGAGCCCTCAAACAAAACAATTTTGCTTCGAACATCCCCACCCTAGCGCCGTGTCCTTCCTACACGCAAATCCTAAGACCTAAAGAACCCGAACCTAAGCCTTAAACCCTGGTGTTCCCGAGCACTCCAGAGATTCTCACGGTAGTCTGTGGGGTTGGGCACTCCAGGGATTCTCACGGTATTCTCACGGTAGTCTGCGGGGTTGGGTACTCCAGGAGATAATCTCAGCAGGCGAGGAGTAATAGCTAACTTTAGAATCTAGCAGCCCCTCACCGAGGGTGGGGAAAAAGGCCCTAAGCCCTAGACTTAGACCCGAACCATGAACCCTAAATCCCAATAAGCCCTAAACCCTAAACCCCGGAAAAGGGCCCTTAAAAAAAAAAAACTTATGAAAACGTTTTGCACCAGGCGATGTGGTCGGCGGATACGGAGTCTTCGGCCTTTCGCATCTACGAGCTCCTTGGAACCTCCTGAGCTTGATCTTACCTTTGGTTAGGGTTTAGGATTTAGGGTTTAGGGTTTAGGGGTTTAGGGTTTAGGGTTTTAGGGTTTAGGGTTTAGGGGTTTAGGGTTTAGGGTTTTAGGGTTTAGGGTTAAGGGGTGTAGGGTTTTAGGGTTTCAGGGTTTCTGGTTTAGGGTTTTAGGGCTGTTTAGGGTTTAGGGGTTTAGGGTTTAGGGAGGCCTTTACGTACCTTTGGTTAGTAGGGAATGGAAGAACGGTAGTAATAGTAGTTATAACTGTACCCCATTCCTCCATTCCCTGCTACCCAAAGGTAAGGAGCTTGATCTTGCGGTTCAGGGCTTTTGGGTTTTAGGGCTTTGGTTAAGGGATTCCTTTAGAGGGATCTATAAAGCGATCCTTCGAGGATTCCTTCAAGGGATCGATAAGAGTTTCATAAAGGGGCTTGGGGCTTAAGGTTTTGGGGTTCAGGGGTTCAGGCGTCAAGGGTTTCGGGTCTCTGGGCTTAGTGTTCGAAGGTCGAAGGCATCACGGCTCTAAAAGGGATGGCATAGGGCTTCAGTGTTGTTGGTTTAGGGCTTCAGGGTGTTTAGCTGTGGGTTCCAGTCGATGCTGTTATTCCGGGTCTCCTTTTTGGTGTACCTGCAAGCAGGGTGCTCGGGAGGATCTAAGCAGTAGATCCTTGAACTTGGGACCCTATACTACTGAAGGGTTTTTGTCGGAGCCCCCTTTGAAGGAACCCGTAGAGGAATCCCTTCTTGCAAGCCGTCAAGGGATCGACTGTTTGGATCCTCCCAATGGTCTGGGTTGAACCTTCGCCGTGCCATTGGAAGGCCTCAGCTTGCTAAAGTTCGTGGGGGGCTCTCAACTTCCATAAGCCTTCCACCGCAGAGCTTTAAGACCCTATCTAATGCCCTTGAAGCCGCGTAGTAGTAGTAGTAGTAGTAGTAGTAGTAGTAGTAGTAGTAGTAGTAGTAGTAGTAGTAGTAGTAGTAGTAGTAGTAGTAGTAGTAGTAGTAGTAGTAGTAGTAGTAGTAGTAGTAGTAGTAGTAGTAGTAGTAGTAGTAGTAGTAGTAGTAGTAGTAGTAGTAGTAGTAGTAGTAGTAGTAGTAGTAGTAGTAGTAGTAGTAGTAGTAGTAGTAGTAGTAGTAGTAGTAGTAGTAGTAGTCGTACTACTATAGTCGTCGTCGTCGTCGTAGTCGTAGAGTCGGAGTCGGAGTCGTAGGAGTGTTCAGGAGTACTCGGAGTAGTCGGAGGAGTGGGAGTAGCAGTAGAAGTAGCAATAGAAGTAGCAGCAGCAGCATCAGCAGCGACAGCAGTGGCAACAGACCGCAAGAGTAGCACGTCAGTGTTGCAAAATCCAAGCTGCAGCTTCTCTAGAAGTTTTGCATGACGGGTAGGCAAGTCTCTGAACTCCTATGTACCCCTAAACTGTGGCCCCTGAACCTCAGAGCTCCAAGGCCTTATGTGACGTGGATCCACTATGAGAGTCTGCACCTCTTGGGCGCATCTCGGTGGAGGTGCAGTCATTCGATTCGGGACGGGATCTAAGGTGGGAGCCGGGTCCCGGTTAGGGTTTAGGCTATTGAGCTATTGGGTTCACGATTCAAGGTGTAGGGTTTGGGGCTTCGCAAGTCCTGATGCAAAATCGCTTCGGGTATAAGCACGATTGCGACAGGTTGTTGGCGTAAGGCGTTCAAGGTTGCTGCAGGGAGGGAAAGCAGAGAGGATTCGATGGGGGCATCGTGCTCTCTAGTATTGTTACTTGCATGTGCCTTGGTTCTTCCACTTTATGCTTCACTTATATAGTCATGAGTTTCGGGATATTGGGCATTGCGAGTCTTCGGGTTTGGGCTCGAACCCCGATAAAAAATGAACACCTAGAAAAGTCAGAACTGTAATCGAAGTGGCAAACACCTCAGCCATTGCAAACACAATGAGATTGCAAACAAAGAAGGCTCCTGTTGAGCCCTAAACCCTGAACCCGAAACCCTAAACTTATCGACAGCCTAGACGTAGTGTGTGTGTGCTTGCCTGGAGATTTGCAACTCTCACAGTGGCATCAGTAGACATGGAAAGACAGCATTAAAATGAAGGCGCTAAGTAATCAGAAGAGGATTCTGGGGTGGGCTCCTCAATCTGTATAAAAGCAAACAAAGAATTTCGAGTTCCAAACGTTCAAGCCGCAGGGTTCGATCCATTTCTAGACAACAGCCACCGTCACTTTCCTGACGTTCTGTCTTCCCAACCCTTCACAATCGGGTTTAGTCTCAGAGAGTTCGGGTTCACTCTAGACCCACGGAATGCCGAATATAGGGGCCTAAATGGTTACCAATACCATTGTGGTGGCTCCTTATTACTTATAATGACAGTATACTGGGCCCCCAAACCCTGTTCCAATTATTCAGGCCGCTTACACTATATAGTCCCCTTATATATCCCATATCGAACCCTTTGAGGATCTCTTTAAAGCAGCCCTATTCTACTTGCTATGGCCCCTATAGTACCCTAAACCCTAAACCCTAAACCCCTAAACCCCTAAACCCTAAACCCTAAACCCTAAACCCAAACCCTAAACCCTAAACCCTTAATCCCAAACGGAAGGATCTTCGAGCTGATGCACCACTTCACCTCTCTCAGGCCGCTTGACGGTGTCTCTGCGATTCTGTAACGTGGGAGGCTTAATAATTAGACTCGGGTTCCTTTAAACGGTCCTTTAAGGGTGCTATAAGGCCTCTATAAGGGATTTAGAATTTAGGGATGTAGGGGCCTTAATAATTAGAATAGGGTTTGGGGGTTTAGTATATTGTAACTATAACAAGGAACCCGCAAACCCTATTCCAATTATTAAGGCTCCTACATTACTTGTTGCGTGGTTCTTCTGCCTGGTAGTTGAGGCACTCTTACGTTCTCCGGGTGTTCTTGTGGAGGGTTCCGCAGCATTTACGATGATCGTCGGCCCAACAGACTGTGCAGTTCTCTTTGGCGCAACTGCGGTCTGTTGCAGCTCGAGTCTTCGGTTCTAAAGTTCAAGGTCTTTCTGTCCCTACTGTGTGGGCACTGTACTAGTTCAGCATCGGATTGCACAAGAGAGCATGGCTGCATGCACTTCATAGCTTCAAGAAAAATGTTCGATATTGTTCCTTTCCGCCTTAAAGCTCCCAGCTATAAATACAGTATACTACACCCCCAAACCCTAATCGCATTATTGAGGCCACCGGATAACCAGATAGACACACGTCCATGGCTTCGCGTTTGGGGTTTAGGGCTTCGGGTTAAATGTAGCGGAAGGTTTTGTGACAAAATTATGCCGCTTGTAGGCCTTATGTATCCTTATACTTGAATCTCCATCCAAGCCCTGCTCGAGTATTAAGGCCTATACAGGAAGCGTATAAACCTCACAGTAAACCTGATGAGGAGGCATGGCTTCAGGCTGGATTTCACTGCAAAGGACTGCGTGGTAAGTTTCTGGATGATTCCCGTTTCGAAAAAGGTTAAAAGGTGATGAACCCTAAACCGACTGTGGTTCGCAGACTTGCTGGACTTAGGAGAAAAGGAGTTCAAGAATAAGATGGGTTGTCAACTTGAGGACTCCTATCCTCAGGGTATCTCGATCATTTCAGGTCGAAATTGATCCGAGGTCCTTAGTTTCTCAGGGTTTTCGGTTTCGGGTTCTTAACCCACAGCCTCAAGAGTGTAAACCCTAAGCCCTGAATCCTCCCCCCCCCCGCCCTAAACTCAAGACTCGAAAGCCTAAGCCCGAAGCTCGAAAACAAAGGGGTCAAGAGCCAGGCTAACCCAACCCGAGCCCCGAAACTCCTAGGATCATACAGGGGACTGGATTATTTGTACCAGCCCGAACAGACTCCCTGAATAATTCCCTTCCCACGGCCATGTTCCAGATATGAAGGTCCCCAAGTATACATCATATACATTCAAAGACCTTGTTACTGATATCGAAAGATCATCTAAAAGATCTTACGTGACACCAAGAAAAGCCCATCTTCGAGTCGTTCAGACCCCCAATCAGGATGTGTGTGGGGATTCACACTGAGACCTTTCGGGGTGTAGGGTTTAGCCTAATCCCTCAACCCAGATCCCTAAACCCGAATCCCTAACCCTTAAAAACCCTAAACCCTAAGGGTTTAAGCTTCAGTGTGCTCGGGCTTCACGGCTGGAGCTTTCTGGGGTTTCAGGGCTCCGTGGAGCTTTCAGGGGTGTTGGCCCCCGTCACAACCGAAGGTCTGCTTCAGGAAAAGAACACCGGGCGATAATCGCTGTAAACCTGTGGCCCTCACAGTGCTCGAAGGCACGCCCTCACTGGAAAGAGTTGATATACAACAGCATCATATAGCCCCTGCATTTCGTTATGTATCGGGCGGGTACCCCATAACCGTGTTCTAATCATTAAGGCCCCTTTATCAGCGAACCCTCCATGGCAACCCTGATTGTAGATCCCTTAGCGGAACCCATGGAGAGAACCCTGTTCTAATCACTCAGGCCCTTTTGGGTAGTTCTCTAGATGAGGGTCCCTTTTTCAGTCCCCAAATAGTACAGCAGCCCGTTAGCCGCTCTCCCCGGCCACGAACTCAGGTACCTCGGAAAGCTTCTGATGCCAACCCGTCCCTTGACCAGGACCGATATTCGCGATCCCCGCACACCCGGCTCCGGCCGACGATGGTCCCAAATTCGAGTCGCCGCCTCAAACACAAAAAAAACACTGCTAACGTTCAAACTTGTGTTCATCTCAACTCAGGTACCCGAAGTGGTGGAGTCACCAGATCGCGAACCAGGCCGGAGCATAGTAAGTTAGAGGATAATTACCGAAAGACTCCGTCGGTAGGTTTACGATCGCGAGAAGAAGTTTCACAGCAGTCTCGGTGAAGGCTCGGTTTTCGCGATCGATGTCAACTAATGTCTTTTCCCCCTGTTTTATTGCCAGATGATTTCATCTACACCGAGTACCTGAAGGCAGGATTCCGCCGGCATCGAATGAGCACATATCTAGTTGGTTCAGGTTCGCGACTGGCCCACCACCAGTACGGACGGCTTCATCCTCCCGATGGTGATGGTAATCGAGTTCCGTTTGAGGCCCACTTCGGTTTCTTAGTTTCGCTTCGTTGCCTTCGCAAGTGCGCCTGACAGGAAGCTCGAACATTATTGTCGCCTGTGATGGACTTGGAGCCGCCGGGGCCTTGGACTCACCGTAAGTACCCTCTTCACGCCTCGTCGCTCAGGCACCGGCTGAGGAAGCGGAATACCCCGGAGGAGCTGTACTGGCAGCTCATGTGGATCCCAAGAAGCGCGGTCCTCGTTCGAGCGAAGTCGAAGCTGCTCGACGAACCGCGTGCCACTCAGGTCAGCGCGACGAGTGATGAGGAGCCACCCGAGCGACGCGGAGTATAAAAGCAAGAAGGTGTTTATAGGTTTCTGATAATAAAGTTTTTTGTTTGCAGAGAAGAAAGAAGCTTCAACATAGACGATGCGCATTTAGTAAGTAACACAAGCATTCACGACGCACCACATGTACTGCATAAGATGTAGTTGTATTTGGGATTTTTGTATGAGGTATATGTACACATAGAATACATATATATATATATATATATATATATATATATATTATATGTATATGTACATATACATAGAAGCACATACACATAGATATATAGTATGTATACATGGGTCAGTTGAATTAAACATATATATATATATATATATATATTTCTACGGGTTCTAGGAACGTTTATGCCTTTTACGTGCCGCGATTGCGAACCTAGATGTTGTAATAATCTCGGGTTCGTCGATTAAGACTGCAAACAGGACTACACGACAAGTGTTTGGACTACTTCACCGACTACATTTGCAACATAGTATTTCTTATGACGGGAGATATATTTCTTTGCACGAATAGATTCTATTAACTTTTATCGTTCATTTATCCGATATATATATATATATATATATATACATATATATATATATATATATATGCTACGGGAATTAGCGATTTTTCTACATTTTATGTGCCGCCATTGCGAGCCTGGATGTAGTAATAATCACGAGTTTGTCGATTGAGACCGAAGGGGACTACGTGAAACAAGTGTTTGACGACTTCACCGGCTACATTTGCAGCATAGTATTTCTTTACGACGCGAAATATATTTCTTTGTACGAAGAGATTCATTGAATTTTGTCGCTTGCTTGTATTTATATATATATATATATATATACGCTTCTTCTGTAGAAGGTATATGTACACATATATACTATATATCTATGCACGTGTATATGTACATATGCGTATATATATATATCTGATTTAACAAGCTTTTGCTTGATTGCATGCGCCTCTATTTTGTATTCGGTTGTTATGATAATCCACGGGGTTTAAGCCTGAGAATTGAATGGGACGGGGAAAAAAAGAGAAACAGAGAGGAGGACAAAGATAAGGAAAAGAACGAGAAAGGAGAGAGAGAGAGAGAGAGAGAGAGAGAGAGAGAGAGAGAGAGAGAGAGAGAAAGAGAGAGAGAGAAAAGAAGAGAGAGAGAGAGAGAGAGAGAGCGGGAAAAGAAAGGAGGGAGAGAGAGAGAGAGAGAGAGAGAGAGAGAAAAGAAAAGCAGAGAGAGAGAGAGAGAGAGGGAGAGGGAGAGGGAGAGGGAGAGGGAGAGGGAGAGGGAGAGGGAGAGGGAGAGAGGGAGAGGGACGGAGAGGGAGAGGGAGAGGGAGAGGGAGAGGGAGAGGGAGAGGGAGAGGGAGAGGGAGACGGAGAGGGAGAGGGAGAGGGAGAGGGAGAGGGAGAGGGAAGAGTGGAAGAGTGGAAGAGTGGAAGAGTGGAAGAGTGGAAGAGTGGAAGAGTGGAAGAGTGGAAGAGTGGAAGAGTGGAAGAGTGGAAGAGTGGAAGAGGAGAGAGAGAAGAGAGAGAAGAGAGAGAGCGGGATGCGGTAGAGAGAAATGAGAAAAATCGGAGAGATACGGGGAAGGAGAGGGAGTGAGAGTGAATTGGTGAATGAGTGAAGTAAAGAGCGGGTGAGGTGAGGAACGAGTGAAGCGCGTGAGACGGTAGGTCAGGGGTGAGGGAGAAAGGGAAGGAGTCGGTGAGATGGAGATCGAGTGATTGTGTGAGCGAGCGAGTAAGGTAGCGAGTGAGTTCATGTTCGACGCGTCCGCCGCAGACCCTAAACCCTAAACCTTAAACCCTTTTCGATATGTCGTTCCGGGACAATTTCAGGGAAAAAGATGGGCAAATTGGGCTTCCGTGGTCGCACCGGCGAAATTAGCCCCCTAAACCCCTAAACCCCTAAACCCCTGAACCCTAAACCCTAAACCCCCACCCGAAAGACTCCGGAGGAGCTCGGTGGTCTTCCTTGGAGAGACCTGGGTGCTTGGCTGCCACCTGGCTTCCCATGGCACGCCTGAACTGACTATAGCGGTCTATACGGGCTATTACTAGGTTGGATCTTGGGACGTTTTTATTTTCCTTATTTGGGTTTATAAGGGGCCCTATATATAAATATTTTTCAAGATGTGTAAAGGCCAACCCAGATTACAAGGACACTGTTTTGCGGAGTTCCTTGTTATACTTATAGCATAATGGGCCCAAGGCCCTATTCTACTTATAAAGGACCCTAGAGTAGACTACAACATGGCCGCAAGTCCTTACTCCGATGATGAAGGCCCTGAACTCCAAGCTGTCACGCGATAGTTCTGAAGGATATAGCGGCTACGACGGCCAGAGTGCTCGAAAAGTTGGTCATGATCCTCCAGATCCAGATCCTCCAAAGCGTGCTCTCTTTTACCGTGGCCTTGCAAAAACATCTCAAACCCTAAACCTTGAAAAAAGACTTCGTCTTCTGACAAAACAGTAGACCCTAGACATGAAAGAAGGCCCACCACCATAGACACTACCAATGTCTGAATGCGAAGCGTGGAATAACATAGGGGGCCGTTCCTTAGGGCTCCTCATCATGTTTCGGGTAGAACATACCCCAGCACCCTATTCTGACCATTACAAGGCCCCGACACGGTAACGCCAAGGCCTCTCTAAAACCCGAGTCCTGCAGAAACATCGGAGCGAAGTCCACCAAAAACCCTAAACCCTAAACCCCTAAACCCTAAACCCCTAAACCCTAAACCCCTAAACCCTAAACCCTAAACCTTAAACCCTAAACCGAGGCAAGGTCTTCCAGCCGCACAGCATGTGTCACTGCTTCGGAACTACGAAGATTCGATGAGGCACATTGAGTGCTTTGGGGTTCAAAAGAGGCGGTTTAGGGTTTAGGGTTTAGGGGTTTAGGGTTTAGGGTTGGGGTTCAAAAGAGGCGGTTGACTCTAGGCACTAAATGCTAAGGGGAGCCATTTACAGGGTATTTGGCTTCTCTGGGGGGTTTGTTAAGAATAGTCTAGTTGAAGAGATGGTTCGAGTGTAGGATTCATGTCTTGCAGGTAGGGGGATCCTCGTGGGCGTCATACGGGTAGTTGTCCTAATTATGATCACTTTATGGGTCCTTGATAAAGTACGGCGCCGAATATTTAGGGTGCCCAATAGGGGCCATAACTTTGTCAACCACCCATACCGGTTTCTTTTGAGCATGGTTGTAGGATGCAGAGCTTATGTTTACTCGAAGCCTAAAACGACCCACCAGACCGAAAATAACCTACAGAACAAGACGTACCTAAAAACCCCTATAGACCCCAGCCACCGAAACCAGAACCCTAAGCCCTAAACCCTGAACCATACAGCCTAAACCCTAAACCCTGAACCTTCAACCCTAAACCCTGAACCTTCAACCCTAAACCCTAAATCCCCCCAAGAAGAGGCTTCCAAGCAACGCGGAAAAACTTGGCGCCAGGGGTGCCTCGCAAGCCTTCGGCGACTCTTTGCGGGCTTTCCGTGCTGCCCTGGAAAGGCTCCTGCTGGCGTCTTTCGTGGTTTAGGGTTTAGGGTTTAGGGTTTGGGGTTTAGGGGTCTAGTGGTTTAGGGTTTAGGGTTTGGGGTTTAGGGGTCTAGTGGTTTAGGGTTTAGGGGTTTTGGGGTTTAGGGTTTGGGGTTTAGGGGTCTAGTGGTTTAGGGTTTAGGGGTTTTGGGGTTTAGGGTTTCAGGGATTAGGTTTTAGGGATCAGGGCTTAGGACTCAGGGTTTGGGTTTTAGGGATCAGGGCTTAGGGTTCTAGGACTCAGGGATTAGGTTTTAGGGATCAGGGCTTAGGGTTCTAGGACTCAGGGTTTAGGTTATAGGCATAGGGATCAGGGTTTAGGTTTTAGGGATCAGGGTTGAGGGTTTTAGGGATCTGAGTTTTTGGTTTTATCTGGGCGTTTGTTTATTTTGGGCGTTTGGTTTTCAGGTTTGGGTCTTTGGTGCTAGGATGTTTTGCTTACAGCTTGTGGTTTTGGGCTTTGGGATTCTGGTTTCGGGTATACATCGGCATCAAGGACCCCAGCCCTAAAGATTCTATTCTATCACATCGGCCCGAGGCCCCCAATTCGAAAAAACCGATCGAGACAGCTGCCCTGCTGAAGAGCATCATACCCTAGAAGGGGCCCCCACCCTGTAACAGTGGTATATTAGGAATATGATAGGGCCCTAGTATAATCCTTATAGTCACTATTGCAGGGTGGGTGCAGCTTCTAAATCATACCCAAAAAGAAAGGCCCTTATGTTGCGAAACTCGATCCCTTCATTCGGGTTCGCTCCCCCAACGGAATAATGTAATTTCACTGCCAGTCCAGAATTACTCTCGCACAGGACTCCTAGAGCGTTTAGGGTTTAGCGCTTCAGGGTGGGGGAGCTTTGGATTTTGGGGTTCAGGGCTCGACGTGCGTTGGGTTAGGAATCTTGAGCGGTACTGCTGTGGTGACTTGTTTGGGTGTTTGTTAACTTGCCATGAATGGGGGAAACCCAACTTTTACTGTTACTATAGATCCCTAGTACGGTAACTTAAATTAAAGTCCGTGATAAGAGGAATTCTGCTTGCATACTCTACATTGTTGACTACGGTGTAAGATGTCGGGTCGGCCGTCACTGGACTCGACGCATGAGGTGGGTTGCCCGGAGTCGTCACGTGCCCGGGTGTTTAGGATGCAACTGGCAGGAATGCCACTGCAAGGTCCGCTCCGAGACGCTCTGCTATGCTTCTCACAGGGGTATGCTGGCCATAGCTCCAAACTCTGCTAGAGCCTCAGACAGACCCTCAACCCTAAAACCCCAAACCACCAATCGCTACAGAACCCTTAGCCAAGCCTGACCTTAAGATCCTTCAGAAACCATAGACTCATTCAAGCCCCCCACCATACACTTTGCCCTAAACCAAACCCAAAAAAAACCCTAAACGGTTTAGGGTTTAGGGTTTATCTGTCCCATGTGCAGGGCAACTGCGAACGAAGTTGAAGCTTCGTCGGACGCTGCAGGCAACGACCGCAGCTTGGCCCAAAAGGCGGCTTCAGGTTTGAGGGTTTGAGTGTTTATGGTTTCAGGGTTCATAGCCCAGGGGGTAGACGTGGATTTCGGTGTTTAAACCTGTAGAGTACAAATCAGTACTCATGGCTTCAAGGGATTGGTGAGAGGCGCTGCACTGGCCCCTCATGCAGGAACCAGAGTGGCACCTAAACATAAAGCGTTCGGGTGGGATATCCCTACCTTCGTGGCTTACTTAGGGAAGGGATATTATGGGATATCCCAACCTTGTGGCTTTCGTTTAGGTTCTTTTTGGGGGCCCCTGCTGATATTTAACAGAGCTCAATCCTGCACCTGCAATCCTAGACTGTGAGAGAGGACTGGTATACGTTACCATGGTGTACGGCCGCATGAACCGCTTCATCAGCGGCTGGGCTCTGCGGGCCAAGACCTTGGGCATCGTGAACCTGGTGTTGGCTACTTGCCTAAACCCTACAATAACCCCAAATACCTTCAACGCTAAACCCGAAAACCTTAAATAACTGAATTTTAGAGGGGCTTTGCCAGAATGGCTTCAGAAAATTGCATGCTCCAAAGTTGTTGCAGCACAAGGCCACGGAATCATTGATAATCCCCAGCAAGGGTCGAAAGATGCTATGGCTTGGGCATCGGGGCAACAAGGTTGCTGTGCTTGGTGCAGTGTTGCGTTTTGCAGCCTAACGAAAAATGAGCAGCAATGGGCTTGTGTGACCCTCTGTGTTCTGAGCGTGTCGTTTCCCCAGGAGGTGTTGATGTTTCCTGCTTTTTGTGGAGCTTGGGGGGTGCTTAGACAGTTCAGGCTTGGTGTCGAAAACATACCTCAACAAGGCCAGGCCACAACCAGCCAGGTTATCCCAACCGTAGGCAAGCAGTATGTGTGCTGTTGTTGGGATTCAACCTGAGTGAGATTGCTTTAACGGCGGATCTGGGAGGCGATGTACGGATTTTTTGTGAGTTGTGTTTTGGTGCATTTTGCAGAGCAAAATTTTGTACCTTAGAAGGGGCCCCCACCCTGTAATAGTGGTATAATAGGAATATAATAGGGCCTTAATATATTCCTTATAGTCACTATTCCAGGGTGGAGGCCCCTTCTAACTTGTACCTTTGTTTTAATGCGGCCTCCTTCTCAAAGCTGAGTCTGACGAGAACAAGGGCAGCATTATTCTTCAGGTGCACTTCTAGGGATCATCGAATCTTGCTGTTGCAGTCTTGCCAGTATGCGCTTTCTCGTGAACATGGGGGTCCGAGGAGTTAGTGTGGAAAAGTATTCCTTACCTGGAGGGGCAGGGGACTTAGTAAGTAGGTTATAAGTAGGGTTATAATTAGGGGTAACTCCATTTAGGGTACTTATAACTCTACCTAGGACCTACTTACTAAGTCCCCTGCCCCTCCAAGTAGGGTTCCTGATCATAACCGCAGTATAATCTGCCCCAAGACCCCATTGTAGATCCTAAGTCCACTATGGATCCGCTGTAAAGCCTTTAAAGCCCTTTAGCCCGATCATGATTCTTAAGGCCCATAAAGTGTAGTTCTACTCTATGACCATGCTGTGTGGTTCATTCCATGACCTGAGTTGGGTTGTAGGGCTTCGTGTTTGGGGCTTGGGGCTGAGCGTTTGCAATTTAGGGGCTCGAGGTTTTGAGTGTACGGTTTAGGAGTCTAGGAGGTTTAGGGTTTGGGGTATACAGTTTAGGGGCTTGGGGTTTGTGGCTTGCGGATTGTTACGGTTGAGTGTTTAGGAAGGGCTAGGAGATAGGTCAAACCAATCCTCAAAGAGATTAGAACGATCCTCCAGGCGACGCTGGATGCGGAGGCGCCGCCTCAGGGAGTTAATTCCTTTACTTGGAGGGGCAGGGGCGCTTAGTAAGTAGGATATAAGTAGGGTTATAGTTGGGGGTAGCTCCATTTAGGATACTTATAACTCTACTTATAACCTACTTACAAGTCCCCTGCCCCTCCAAGTAGGGTTTACAGTTCCAGTTCAGCCTCGAGTCTGGAAAGTTGGAGGTTGCAGCTTAGACTTTAGAAGCTGCCCCCCTGGAATAGTGACTTTCAGGATTATATTAGGGGCCCTGTTATACTCCTATTAGACCACTATTACAGGGTGGGGGCCCCTTCTAACTTAGACTTTTGGTGACGTTTAGGAGGCTTGGCAGTTGTACAGCACTGTAGTGAGCATCGAGCCATACCCCACAGTAACCCCAAAACCCCAAAGCCTTAAACAGCATCCTTTCTAGGAAGTCTGAAACCCCAAAGCATCATAGTAGTCCTTAGTAGCCTACAATCCCTGATAGTACCGCTTTGTACGCCTTATAGCAGCGCTAAGCTAAACCCTAAAGCCCTTGTGGTGTATGCTTGGCCCCAGAAGTGGGCCAGCTTGAATCTTTCCAGCAGTCACAAGAATCAAAGGCAAGTACTGCTGATCATATAAACCCTGCATTACCTTAAGGACCCTCAACTATGGGAACTATGGTATATTCCTTATTATGGGTAATGCAGGATTTATATCATCAGCCGTATGCTGCTTCGTGAATGCGGGGTTGGAGTTTTGGAGTTCAGGCTTTTCGGGGTCTGTTGAATGAGATTCAGCCCACAAAGGCCGAATATGCAGGCTGTTGGATGCTGATCACCACGGTTTAGGGTTGTATGGGTTCAGAGTTTAGGGTTTTATGGGTTCAGAGTTTAGGGTTTTATGGGTTCAGAGTTTAGGGTTTAGGGCCGTTTAGGGTTTAGGGTTCCGAAGCTGGCAAGTGCTGAGTTTCATTCAGGCCGCTGGAACCCTTTGTCCCTGCTCCCTGAGCCCCCCCCACGACTTCAGCGCGCACGAAGCGCTGTTGTCACAAGCCTTCCGAACATCCAAAGTTCCGCTATCATCTGGGTACAGATTAGTAGCAGACTCTGCGCGGCTCCTAGACTATGCCCCGTGATGTCAGACGGTATAATATTCCGCAGTATGCTACGGATGTACGATCCTACTCCACCTCGAAGAGTAGGTCCCCCACCTTGAGGCACCCTTTTAGCGCCCGGAACGAGTCGGCAAACTTCGTCATGGCATCCTTTCCTAGTCCCTCTATAGTCGGTTAAGAGTTTAGAGTTTAGGGTTTAGGGTTTTTGTAGTCGGTTCAGAGTTTAGGGTTTAGGGTTTAGGGTTATAATTCTAGCACCACATACCCGAAGACCCCGCTCCATTTATTCAGGCCATAAACTGCTCACTGGAGCCTTTAAGCCGGGACTTGATCGTATGGGAGTTTCCGAAAATAGGGGGCCCTAATACAGTATCCTAAATAGTAGGATCCTTATTTGAAGGACCCCAGAATAAGGTACCCTCCTTTTCGGAAACTCCCGTATCAGGCCTACGAACTCTGCCAGACTCACCACGTGCCGGAACTCTGCGTACGTGCCTCCGTGTCGGTGCTGAGCCACGGCAGCATCACCAAGGCCCTAAACCACTATGGTTTCGGATCCTACGTAGATCCTAAACTCCGCAACTCTGAACCCTAAGTATAAACACCTACACACCCTGAAGCCCTAAACCTCTCAGCCCCAAATCCCAAAGGCTTAATGCTGCAAACCCCAAAGAGTTTTACCATGTCGTGTTTTCCCAGCCTTAATCCTGAGACGTCTGGCTGGACCATTGCAATCTTTGGCCAGGCTGTTCATTGCTACACTTTTTTACTTTCAGGTTTCTGGGTTCCTATTATATAATAAGAAGTCCAAAAAGTATGTACTTTTTCCCAGTGGGTTACTGAACAGCCTAGTTGGGGTTTTAGAGTATGACATTCCTGGATCTAGCGGTGTAGGGCATGGTGGTTTAAGTCTCAGTGCCTTTGAAAAAGGGGTTTGAAAATTGTATGATCTTCGGCTTATGTCACAGAGCTTTCGTTATAGACAGCAGCTCTTGGAAACAGGACTTGGAACCAAAACCCTACCTTAGACTACTATGTTGTGTCGGATCTTATAAGCACCTAGATCAACAGTTTACAGGGACCCCACATAAAGTCGGCCATGGCCGGCTAAGGGTAACCCCTGAACTCAAAGCCACATCTTTCTAGGGAGCTGGAGTCTGATCGTGAGACATATTCAAACTAAACCCTAAACCCTAAACCCTTTAGCGGCATCGGAAAGGGCCCCGAATATTTAGAATACACTGCTGGGGCGTAGTGTGACTTAGAGCGGGCTGCTGTTCCTAGTCGTTCAGGCCTCTGTCGTATGCTTCTTAGGATGTCTGCCCTTCTCTGATCTCATGAAACTACAAAGATCAAAGAAGCCGACGCCCTAAATCCTAAACCCCTAAACCTAAACCCTAAACCCCTGAACCATAAACCCTCTGAAGGAACAAATACACCTTGCTGCTGGTGGCACTTCAACTGGGCCTCTTGTCGATGACAAGCCCTACGTACTCTTGGTAGTTGAGAGTAGAAACGTTAAACTTTTTGGGACAATGAAACCCTCGTAAAGCTTTTTTGATTCTGGGCTTATGAACTCGGCAACTATAGAAGCCTAGATAATCGCCAGGGTTCCTTTCAAGGGGTCTAAAAGGGTTACTGTAAGGGATCTATACAGGCACTATAATATCAGGGCCTAAATGGTTGCCGATACTATGTTGGGGGGTTCACTGTTACAGTTGTAGTATATTGGGCGCCTAAACCCTTTTCTAATCATTAAGGCCCCTATGTTACACCCTGAACACCCCAAACCCCAAAACCACAATAACAGCCCCAAACCCTAAGGGATAGGGGTCAGAAAAAGACCTGTTATTATTGATTTCTGAGTTAGTTCTCACCCTAACCCCAAACCACAACCCAAAGCCCTAGTAGTAGAGACTTGATTTTCACGGGCCCTTTCGTGTTGAACTGATGGACTGCCGTGGCTCTCGGCTCACCCGCGAGTAATACATCGAAGCATGAAAGTTTGTAACACTATTCTATAACTATAAGGCTCCTTACTAGAACCATACCGTAACCTACCCCGCAGCCCGGTTCGAATTGCTACTGATGCTTCTAACGCAGACCCCAAACCATTGAGTTGGACTTTGTGTTGTCTTTGGCAGCCTACTTGGAAGGGCAGGGGACGTAGTAAGTAGGTTATAAGTAGAGTTATAAGCACCCTAAATGGAGTTACCCCAATTATAACCCTACTTATAAGCTACTTACTAAGTCCCCTGCCCCTCCAAGTAGGCCCTAAACCCTAAACCCCATAGATCCCTTTAAGGAACCCTATAGATCCCTTTAAGGAGCCCTTTAAGAGCCCTTACTAAGCTAAGTCCCCTGCCCCTCCAAGTAGGGTGTACAGGGCAAAGAGAGCCTAAATCTTCAGCCCTTGGGTTCGGGGTTTAGGGCTCATACGGTTGATGATATAAATCCCTAGGGTTCCTTCAAAGGGATCTATAGGGGTACCTTTAAGGGCTGCCTTTACGGGATCTATAGGGTTTAGGGCTCAGGGCTGATGATATAAATCCTGCATTACCTTAATGATTCTAAACTATGGGAATTATGGTATATTTCCTTATTATGGGTAATGCAGGATTTCTATCATCAACCGTAAACCCATAGCCCCGAACCCGGAAACTGTGTGCGGGTACGGCTTCAGGGCTTGTAATACAAGCCTCGATGAAGAGTGGTGGCCGTTTTAGGATTTAGGTTTCGGGTGGTAGTTGCAGTATACGAATATCGTAAGATTGTATTTCAGACAGCAATATTCGTAATATAGCATAACATAGCATTATGCATGTCAAATTTTAAGTTTTCGGGTGGCGAACCCCGGTGGAGCTTTAGGCGTTGAGGGTGCGAGGTGATAGACATTGTACCATTGCCCTTAGAGTTTGGAGTAACTTTGGGTTTAGGATTTGGTTCAGGGTGTAGGGTTTAGGGTTCAGGAGGCATGATACCACTGAAGGGTTTAGTCTCGCACGCCGTATCCTTACTTAGGGTATTTTTGTTTATCATAATCCCCAAGAAACAGCTTAAATTATAACTTTTGCTAGGGTTCTAAGTTCAGTATAGCTTAGTCTCCGCTATGTTGCTGCGAGCTGCAAAAGACCCGCCGTTGTACCAGCGCCCATCCGAAAGCGATGACAGGAATCCTCTGAATTCCCTGATTTAGACCCGCTGCTATATTTTAGGTGCCTAAATAACTACGGATACTATTTTGGGGATTCCTTCTTTTTTATGATTATAGTATATAGGGCCCCAAAGCTCTAGTCTAATTATTAAGGCTGCCATAGTAGACGGATTCCCTAAACCCTAAACCCTACACTTTGCCCACTGAGGTCTCGACATCATGTGGCTGGACTTCGACATCTTCCTGGTCCCTTCGGCTGCATTTCAGAGCTTCGGGCTTTTCTTGGCGAGGAAGATCCCAAAACCACAGCCCAAAGAGCTGCGATATAGGGACTACAAGTCACAGAAACCAAATCTAGGGGCCTGAATAGCTAGTATTCGCATTCTGTGGCCTCCGTCATACACCTACACTATAGGTCATGGGCCATCGTTTGTCCCGACACCGTGTTCGAAGTGTAAGGGCCCCACGCCAGACCCCTGGTTATCCAAAAAGTGGATCCTTCATCTTATGGCGGGAGAGGGTTTAGGGTTTAGGAGGTTCCTCTAAAGTACTCTGAAGTCGTGTAGGGTCCCCATTTAGGTGATCTACTTTTTGGGTTCTGGCTCTCGGTCCTATCTCTGGCCTTGATCCAGCAACTCTTTGACTCCAGCTGTGGAGTATGCATCAAAGGGGAAAAGGAGGGACCCTTAATGGGGACCCCTACCCTATAATGGGCTATATAATGGGTATATAATGGCTATACTTACAGAATTCCTCCCTCGACCATGTTGGGTTTGATATGTGCGTGTTGAGGGGTGTGTGAAGCCACTTGACTGTGACCAGAAACTAAACCTACTGGTGCTTAAGGGTGTTTTCGAGGAGGGAACGTACTTGTGGGGACCACTACTTGGATCAAGGGACTTAGTACTTAGTAAGCAAGTTTATAAGTACCTTCATTGGAGTTACGAGTAATTGTAGTACGTAACTATAAGTATAGTTGCTTTATACTTATAACCTTAGTTACTAAGTGCCATGACCCTTCAAGCATAAGGGATTGTTTGCAGGGATATTTTCCCCCACTCCCTTTGCAGCCCCAAACCCTAAACCCTAAGTAAAGTCCGTGGCGGGCCCTGAATCCAAAGCACCGATTCCTAGATCTCGAAGGCCAGAAGGGGTGTAATAGGGGGGTCGAGCAATAGGTTCCTTGCCCGAAACCCTATTCACTTCAGGCCCCGTCGGATTTGGGGGTTTGGTGTTCGGTGTTCAGGGCTTATGGAGCCAAACCAAAGCCCCGAAACTTGCCAGATGTGTGTGCGCCAAACCATGGAGAACCTCAGCTCCCAAACCCCAAAAGACCCTACTGTAGAAGCCTAAATAATTACCAATATTATGGTTAGGGTTCCTTATTATAATTATAGTATCAGGGGCCCCAAAACCCTATTCTAATTATTAAGGCCCCTACATTAAACCCTAAACCCCAAGCCTTGAAGCCCTGAAAGCGACCCTGAAGCGCCGAAGTTAAGTTCTTGGCTTTTGATTTAAACCCTTGAACTCAACAACCCCCAAAGCAACACCCGAAACCCTGAGTTTGGGCCTAGGCTTAATCTCTCAATCCCTACATTACAACGTAAGCTTAATAGTAGAGAAGATTACCTTCACTTCTTTGGAGCAGTCCAATCCGTGTATAACTCCAAAAGTTAGCCCTTGCACCCCCAGGATACCGGACAAGGAAGTAAACCCCTAAACCGTAAAGCAATCAAGGTGCGACATCCAACTTCGGCGATCACGCGGGCAGTCCAAGACTACGAGCTTCTCATGGGCTACGTACCTGCGCTGCGCTCATGAGTTTAAGGTTTAGGATTTGGGGATTTGGTTTTAGGGTTTAGGGTCAAGGTTTAGGATTTGGGTTTAGGGTGCAGGGTGTGGTCAGGTAGATGTAACGTAGAGCCCAGAAAACTGCTCATAGCCTTCGTTCCTTAGATATACCACCAGCAATCCATTTCGAACTATCAAGGCCCCAAGAATTACACCATGTTAAAGCCCCTGCAGTAGGGATGGGAATCCTGCGCAGGTTTGACGTGGGACCGGGAGACAGCCTTCCGAGAGCTCCGGCTTTTCGGGGGGCTTTTCGGGTTGAGGACCAAATGTAGGGTTTATGTAGGGCTTTGGGTTTATGGTTTAGGTGATGTTTTGAGGGTCTCGGCACGATACTGAGGACCTTGATTCCGACTGCCTTTGCAACGGATTCTTCTACATCCGTGCCTCGCAACGATTTCGGGATGTGGGTCACCGAAGGTTTCGGGTCATTTTGCCATATCCCTTTGACAGGCTACGGCGACATTGTCTTGACAACAGAAGGCTTATCTACAATGCGACAACGCAGTTTTCGCAAGCTGACACCAGCATTATCGACAACAGTAACGGTACTAAAGTCATCAGCGACTGCAAAATCATGATGCAGTCGCCCTCATTCTCATCGTCATGGACTGACGATCAAGATTTCTAGATCTGCTCTCAGCTTAACGGCTTGCGCTAGAAATCTGCTCCTGTTTGTTTCAGGGTAAGGGTCAGGATTTAGGTCCACGCGAAGAGCTTCGGTTTCGGTTGAGGGTTCCCTTCAGTGCGGGAGCTATCGCCAGGCTTCGCCAGGTGAAGCTCATCCGCCTGAGCTGCACCACCGAAGCCCGAAACCCTAAGCACTTAACCCGAAAGCCTAAGCACTTAACCCTGAACCCCTAAATCCCTAAACCCTAAAACCGATATCCTAAACCCTAAGCTCTAAACTCCAAACCCCTCAACCCTCAATTTCCTGAACCCCGAACCCTAAAGCCTAAACCCCATAATTACTGAGCTTTGGAGTACAAAACTTTACTTCTTTTTTCGTAAAGGAACCATTATGAAATACAAGTTTATACTTTTTCTCCCTGGTTACTTAAAAGCCCAGATTACCCTGGACCCTAAACCCGAAGTGCGTCGGAACTGGAGCGACTCTACGAGTCTGGTCTTTGAGTTCTCACCAGGCGTAGGTTTTGCGAATTAATACGCGTGCCTAAATCATTACCAACACTATTTCGTGGGTTCCCTTGTATAATTATCGTATATATAGTATAAGGTTTCGGGGGTTCCCTATTATAATTATCGGATATATAGCATAAGGTATCCCAAAACCCTATTCTGATTACTAAGGCCTTGGTAATCGAGAGCCTCTGAGCCCCGAAACCGTAAGCTTTGGGAAACCTTAGAAAGTAATGGAGAGCCTTGAAACCCTAAAACTGTAAGCTTTAAGAAACCTTGAAAAGAACCCTCGTAGGATCCCTTAGCCCATAGACCCTGAAGCGGCTTCTTTTCAGCGTATGCCCCGACCCTGGTAGGTCACACGGTCATTGCACTTTAAACGCACACCCTGCAGCCCGAAAACCGCAAGAAGCCTGCAAGAGAACCCTCTTACGAACCCTTCGCCCTAAACCCAACGGCCATACTCAAGTCATTAAGGTCCATTATAGATGCCAAAATAATTACCTAGGCTATTTGGGGGGGGGTCCTTCACTATAAATGGGGTTCCTTCACTATAAATATAATAGAATGAGCCCAAAAACCTATTCTAATCATTCAGTCCCCTATATGATGTAGCTGAGCCTTTGTCTTGCAACTCTTCGGTAAGTCCTCGTCGAGGTGCCCGGCCGCGAACTCACCGTTGGCTCTTCGAGCTCGTGCGGTGGCTCTACGACCATCCCTACGTCGCTCAGCGAGGTTCACGCAGTCGGATCCTATTAAACTTCCTATACTATAAGAAGAAGAGAGTGCCACGGAATACGGGTCTATAACCCTTAAAGACGCCGGCCCGTTGTATGTTGTTTTCTGTATAAGAAAGGGTTTCCACAAGGGTTGCTTTTGCGAGTTTATGGGAACTTGATCCCGGTTGCTTGGCCACACTGTGGACCACACTACTTGGAGTGGTGGTACTGGGTGATACTCAGGAACCGTGGATTTCTGGGTGCTATAGGGGTCTAAATAATTACCTATACTATTGTGGGGCCCCAAAGCCCTATTCTGATTATTAAGGCCTCTTTAGTAGGGATTGGGTTGCTCAGCACCTTCGACGGAAGTCTTACAGCCAGAATCACAAAGACGATGCATTGGGTTTAGGGATTGGGGATTAGGGGTACACGATGTATCGCAGCTCATGAGAAGCTACCTACAATGAGCGGAAACCCTGCACCCTTCACCCTCCTCATTGGGTTCTTTGTGTAAATGCTTCTTTAAGGGATCTGGCGTTCCAAAAAGGTTCCTCATGATATGGCTCTTGGGTACCTAGGTTTCTGCGTTCTGTTTGGGGTGCTGGTCTGCTGCATGAAGATCTCCAAGGCATGTAACTTTGGCTTAGTTTTAAAGGGCAGTAGAACTGAAATCAAGGAGCATGACCAGCGAGCGATGGGCGCGTTCCTGAACTACACAGAGAAGATCTCTGCCGATCTGGAGGCAGTTGGTTTTTGGGCTTAGGGTTTTGCGTTTAGGGCTTAGGGGGATCTGGATGATCCTTCGCAGTCCAACTTTTGCTTCATCAGCTTCTGAGCCCAGGAGGGTTTAGGGTTTAGGGTTATTCATAGCAGTAGTTTTGTAATGGATCAAATCAAGGGGGCTTGTCGATGTTTGAAGGGTGACTCGTCCAGGCCTCAGAACAAGATCGAGCATGCAGCCTGCCGATGAGAGCCAGCCCTAAACACCTAAGAGCTTTGGATATTTGGAGTTTAAGTTCAAGGTGTAGGGAGCTTCCTCTAACTGCCGTGAGCTGTCTGATTCTCGTCCGAAATCGCCAGCCGCATGTGGGTGGTTGTCAAAATGATATTCCCTCTTGGTGTCCCTATTATACTACGGCACCTATTATTTAGGGTACCCAAAAAGGGACCCTGATTTTGACAACTGCCCATGTGTTTCAGGCTCATTGTCAAGCATAAGCCTTCGCATCAAGCTTCCGACCGGGTTGTGCTTCGTTGTAGCAGAGTGGGCAAGCTTTGACCTTTTGGGGCACCAAGGTTAACCTTCGAACCCCCTAGGATACTTGACAAGTAAGCATCTCTTCTTTCATCAGGTTCTGTCGGAAGAGTTTTTTTCGCAGCCAGAGGCCATGGCTGTCCTTTTTGCAAGTGCTACTGTTGCTCTCTTGGTCTTGTGCCACATCTTTATGATCGGAGTGGAAGTCAACGGTCATGGCCATATTTTGGCCACCGTGTCGCAGAAGGTGTCGGCTTTTTTGATGTCGTCGCGGGGTCCGAGGTTGGATGAAAAGTTCGAAGAGCTGACAATATCGATGAGTGTGTGGGGCGCACAAACTTTCATTCACGCTGAGATGAGTATCTTGGCCACGCTCCTCTTTTATGCCTGCTTAGCTCCAACCCTATGCTCCGTATCTCGGGTGCTTGTCTTCGGCCTTCTGTATGCGAACAGCCTTGAGCTCATCTTCAAGAGACACCGTCTGTCCCTCTGGAGGATACGAACGATGTATTTCTCAGTGACTTAGATGGCCTATGGGAGAACTTGAAACTTTTTGGCTTTATAGATTTGGTCTATAAACCTTAAAAAGTTTGTCTTTTGGGGGCCCGGGTATTCGAGAAGAGAGGTGATGGCGACCATCTTTCTTCGCGCTTTGCTCCCAGCCTGTAGCGATCGTCAGGTCAGTGGCTTTGACCAACTGGACCTGGTGGTCGCAATTGGTTGTGGAGTGGCTTCCCTATCTTGCAGGATTGCTTAGTAGGGAATGGTGGAATGGGTAAAATGGGAGTACAAAAAGGGGACCTTACAAGGGACTATCATAGGGGATCCATTCCCCCCTTCCCTACGAAGAACCATACAGTCTTGCAGGATTGCCACCCTGCCCTTGGTGATGACGTTTCTGGCTGACTCGTGGAGCCAGAGCATGTTTCATGGCTCCGGATCCTTCGAAATCTTCGTTACCAATGGTCAACGATGTTTGAGTTCAGTATGCCTCGTCGCGCTAGTCGAACAGCTGGCTCGATTCATGATTATCTCTGAACTGGACGGTCAGGAAGCTCTTCGGGCTTTCAGAGGCATCGTTCGATGTTCTATGGATGCGGACGTAATGCTTGACAGCCAGTACCAGATCCGAGACCGACCGACGTGCTTAGAGTTGCTTCTTCATCGTCGGGATGACTTAGCCGGGACGTCCTTCCTGGATTTGCTTGCAGACGACGACGCCGTCCATGACTTCCTCAGCCTAGCCCAAAGGAGCATTGAACACGCCACCTCGGGAAAGCAGGTCGCCCCAGTGGCTCGCTTGGGCTTGAAACGGTTCTCTGGTGGTCTAGCTCGAGGAGACGTTTACATGGTTCATATTCCTGACAGATTTGGGCAGGGAAGTCGCTACCTTCTTGGCTTCGTCGACGACCCCGAGGCCTCCGACGCGCAACCCTGCGATGCGCGCCTCTCTGTGGACCCTTAGGGGTACTTAGAAATACTTGTTAATTTATGGTTCTTATAATCCCTAAGAAACAGCTAAAATTTTAATTGTTGCTAGGGTTAAACGTTCAGTATAGGACCGGGCTGCAGTTGCGAAGTCAGCGCGTCACTTTCGCCTGGCTTCCTCTGCCTCGGCATCTTCTTCACAAAGCAATAAGAAGGACCCTCCGATTTCGCTAACATCTTGCCGGGAGGTTGTCGACGTCAGCTTATTCCTGGATGGGCAGACCGAGTGGTTCGACGTCAAGGAGGCCAGGATGCGGTTTACGCGGTTCGAAGACCGAGGATCGGCGATGCCGACTCTCAAGCACATGCTGCTTCCGTCTGAGTGGCAGTCAACATTGCCCAAATTGCAGCAGGCTGTGTGGAGCACGCTCGGTCCGGATATGGGGTTCGTCCCACAGGGCCTTGGTCCTTTGCATGTTCGCATGCCAGGGATCCTGTCAGAGGGAAATGATGGAAACTTGTCTCTTTTTGCCAGAAGCTCGCAGCTAAGACTGGTTCAGGGGGCCAACATCAACCAGGATGAATCGGACATCTCGGTGCAGCCCATCTATCTCTGCCTGCAGCTCTACAACTTCGCTCAGCTGGACCGGTGGGGGCGGCCTATAGAGCTAGGGACCGTTTCCGAGTTCAGTTCCATGCAGTCAGAAGCGCCGGAGCAGTGAACGAAAGCTCAGAATCCATCGCAAGGCAGGCTGCTTCCCGAGGCAATAACAGCCATCTGGGAGTTTCCGAAAATTAGGCTTTCTACTAAGGATCCTACAATTCAGGGTGCTCTATTGGGGTCCCCTATTTTCGGAGACCCCACTCTCGGGTCAAGTCTACTGGACGAGAAGCGATCTTGCTGATGGTAAAACTGATCGCTAGGAGTTCTTGAGCCGCAAGGGTCGTTGATTTGTGTTCTAGGTAACTTAAATTTCAATGTCAGGTACCAAAACTAGACAGCCACATTTTTTATTTGGGCTCTTATTCTGGCACCTCAAACTAGATTCCTCAACAAGAAGCCAGTTCTTCCAGGCAGTTCGGTGGCCCTGGAACAGCATCTAAGATGCTGGCATCGACCCGAGCACACAACCCTTAACCCAGAATTATACGGCCTTAGCCTTAGGCCTAAAGCCCTTCACCCCATACTCTACACCATGAGTCCGGAGCCCTTCATCCATGAGGCTGAACCGGTCAGAGGCTATCAGGGCTTCAATATAGGGGCCTTGATAGTTGTTAGTGTTATTCCATATTACTCCGTAAGGTTCCTTTTTAGGGTTTCTCTACAGTTTCTGTAGGACTTCTGCACAAAACGTTGAATCCTTAACACTGGTATCCCCCGCATTCCTTCATAGGGTCATATCAGAACACCACTCTAAGCCTGTTCTGCTTAGTGACGGCTTTAGAGAAAACCTGAGCCCTCTGCTTCTCAACGCGAACTGTAGGGTTTAGGGTTCAGGCGCTAGGGTTCTGGGTTTAGAGGTTTAGAGTCTTTGGGGTTCTGGGTAACTACTGTACCAATGGCATTCCCCCATAGTCCCTGTATCCTTGGAGTATAACATACCCAGAAATTCGATAGATTTATCGTAGCTCCCATGAGAAACCCTCAAACCCTAACTGTCGCGCTTGCCTCGATGAAGTCCAAAATCTTTCCTTTACGCTTTCTTCCAAGCCACCGCAGCAAATCTGTGCTACAAGGATTTAGGGTTTGGGGTGTAGGGTTTAGGGTTTCGAGCTGTTCAACGAAACATTTTGGGTGTAGTGTTTCGGGGTCGAAAACTGGGGGCTGGCGCCTCGAAACAATCGGGGTTGAAGCCAAAGGGCTCCGAAACTTCGAATTTATAGGGTTTAGGGCTCGAGACCCCAAGCTCTTATACCCGAAACCCTAAATCGCTGGGCCTGGAAAATCCTTTGACTTTGAGCCCGTAATCCCTCTGAAGGTGCAACAACAGCGACGTCGCTGTCTAGGGTCTATAGAAGGGTCGAACTGTAGGATCTAAGCTCCGGCTCAGATTTAGGGCAGGTTTACCGCTTACGGTTCTTGATCTACACGTACGGGGTTTAGGGTTCAGGGAGGCTTTAGGATTCTGAGGTCTTCAGATAAGCGGTGGGGACTCGGAAAACAGCACAATCCCTCACGTAGGAGTCGCAAGAGTCGTCGATTATTCCAACATAATAGAGGGAGGAACCTGAATATGTTGCATCTTCATTCCTGTATGGTTCCCACAAGATTTTATCATAATACACCGAAAAGCCTGTAGTACACAAACCTAAGTCCAGGCGTTCCGCTTGCGTTATGAGCCAACCACATGGTCAAAAACCCCAGGCCCTAAACCCCTAAACCCCGAAACCCCTAAACCACCCAAACCCTAAACCTGCTAAACCCCCCAAACCCTAAACCCCCCAAGCCCTAAACCCCTAAACCCCCTAAACCCCGAAACCCCTAAACCACCCAAACCCTAAACCTGCTAAACCCCCCAAACCCTAAACCCCCCAAGCCCGAAACCCCTAAACCCCAACCCTAAACCCTAAGCCTAAGCCTGCAACCGAGAAGTCCCCTAAACCCTAAACCACGGCCTAAACCCCAAACCCCAGAAGTCCCCGAAACCGTAAACCCTTATAATAGATCCCTTTCAGGAATCCATCAAGGATCCCGTTAAGGACCCTAAACCCTAAACTCAGATGTCCTCAAAACGCGAACTCATGCTCAAATCCGGGCTGCCACGGTAGGGTTGATGATATAAATCCTGCAATACCCATAATAAGGAATATACCATAATTCCCATAGTTTAGGGTCATTAAGGTAATGCAGGATTTATATCATCAACCGTAGAAGGAGCTCCCGGCCGTTCCGTCCTGGCACGTCTTCGATGAAGAGCAACCTGGTCGCATATCAGCACCACCTGAATGGTGAGACTAGGGCTCCTGCAAGGATTTGTTTACGGCCTGTTAAAAGGCTGCAGTATCAACATCCAGCCGGTAAAAGTTGGCTTTTCGGGTATATTACAACATGTTCAACAGAAGGACCTCCAAGGAATACTACGGTTGATGATATAAATCCTGCATTACCCATAATAAGGAATATACCATAATTCCCATAGTTTCGGGTCCTTAAGGTAATGCAGGATTTATATTATCAACAGTATGGGTTTCTATCTGCGGAAGCCCACCGTTTGGGGCGTTTGGAGGCGGTTCCCTGAACCCTCGAGGCCCCTATGACAATGAGAACTCTTATGCAAGCCCCTTACAGGAGCCCTAGTCTAAGTCTTAAGGCGTGGCCCCCCTTGCTTAATCGGAACGCGGAGGAGGGGCGAGGTTTGATATGCAAGAAAACTGACAAGCAAAGCACTACAGCCCACTAATGGTTGATAACAGTACGAGTTCTACCAAGGATGACAACGACAATAAAGATACTGAGCCTAAAACCGTAATTGTCGGTACTTCACATCTCACCAGTGCCCTCCTCCGTCACTCCAAACGAATACTAGAGCCTGATTAAGAAACCTTGGGTCTATGTCTGGGTTTTTTGGTTGTGGGACGAAAGTTTCTTAATCAGGTTCCTACACAAGGTCCTTCTGAGGGCACTTCATGGACGCGGGAGGATCCCAATCTTGACGGTATTGACAGCAATGACAACAAAAACCGAAATATGACCGCATAACAGTGACGAACACATGTGCCAAGAACCATTCACCCCAAACAGTTCGTTGAGAATAAAACTCTCGAGACGCACTGTGTCACGTGAGGCTCGAGGCTTTAGGGATTGATGTGTGGTAAATGATCGGCTTTCTTTAGTCCTTGTTAGAGTCTGGTGCCCAAGGAATATCTTCATCAACTATGGCTCCTGGCTGGGGGACTTCAATCAGCTGACCATCGTGCCGTGCTCGGAGCAGGGGAAGGATGACTGACGAAGTTGCAGAGACATTGGCGACTACGGTCGCCGTCATCATAATGACCATGGGTACGATCATGAACATAACCATCATCACGATCATCGTGGTCTTATCAACCCGAACCCCTGTAACAGACTAACAAGAACGCAGTGCAAAGCTACTTGGAGGATCGGGGACTTCGAGAGTAAGGTTAAAAGTATCTTAATTGCGGTTATCACAAACTATAATAAGTATAGTTACCTTACTGAAAACCCAGCTACTAAGTCCCATGACTTTAAGTAACCCTAACACCTACGCTATAGAACCCTTATAACCCCTAAAAGAGCCCTGGTTACTAAGTCCCATGATACTTTCAAAAAGCTCCAGGTGCACTTCGTGGATGGCAGCGCATTCTCGCTGTACGGCCGGCCATCTTGGGTGGCTCAGCTCGGTCTGTGGAGGATCAGGGAGTTCGGGTTTAGGGATAAGAGTTTGGGGATTTGGGGATTAAGGTTTAGGGACTAGGGCTAGGGTTTTAGTGGGATTCTGAACGGGTCTAAACTTCGGGTTTATTGCGGGCTTTTGGGAGTTTGGTCGTGGTGCTTTCTGCCTTGTCGCTGGCTGCGGCCCCGTATGGCTTTCTGGGACTTCCAGCCGCTGGGAGGTTTGCTGTGCATAGAGTTGATACGGATGTTTATAAACGGGTGTTGCAGGAGTACAGTATAGACTTTAGGGTTCAGGTCTTTTGGGAGTCTCCGGAATTCAGGCTTCCAAAGTGCTCACTTTGCGAGACTTGCAGGCATCCGGCGCACTAGCAGTTTCGGAATACTGTGTAGGGTTGCATACGTTGCCGTGCGTTGAGGCTTGTCATGATTTGGAAGTGGGTGGTTGTCAAAATTATAGTCCCTTTTTGGTTCCCTAATATAGTACGGCACCTAATATTTAGGGTACCCAAAAAGGGACCATAATTTTGACAACTACCCAAGTGTTGTTGCCAGGACCAGGTGTTGCGCCTTAGCTTCGGTATGGCGTTCCAGCTACTAGAGCATTTAACTTGGCGTTCTTCTAGTTGGCTCTTCGGACTTTAACTTCTTGGGCTTCTATATGAGCTAGAGCTAGAACAAGGAGGCTAGAAGCTTAGCTTTTAGGAGGGGCTTAGAAGTCAGCCAAGTTAACTTCAACGACATAACTTATACCTATCTACACAAATAATATAATATAATATAATATAATATAGTAAAATATAATATAATATAATATAATAAAATATAATATAATATAATATAATAAAATATAGTATAGTATAATATAGTATAATATAATATGATATAATATGATATAATAGAATATAATATAATATAAGATAAGATAAGAGAATATAATATAATATAATATAATATAATATAGTATATTATAGTATGTTATAATATAATATAATCAAATATAATATAATATAATATAATATGATATAATATGGTATAATATAATATGATATAATATAAGAGAATATAATATAATATAATATAATATAATACAATATAATATAATATATTATAATATAATATAATCAAATATAATATAATATAATATACATATATACATATATTGTCTATGTATACATATATATATATATAGATATGCACAGTTTAGGAGTGGATTGTTTATGGTTCGTAGTGGCGCAGGGCATGGCGGCCCGGTCGGTTGGGGTCGGGTTCTGATGGGCACAGGCAGGTTTTGGGGGTGGAGAATTCGGTGGTTTGGCCTGGGTTTCTAGAGCTGAGCAGTGGTTCCATAATCTAAATTCGAGTTTCCGAAAATTAGGGGTACCTTATTTAGGGGTCCTTATAATAAGGATCCTACTATTTAGGGTACTATATTTGGGTCCCCTGTTTTCGGAAACTCCCAAATGTAGTACAAGACTCCCCAAAACTCTCGTCCAACCACTGCGGCCCCTCCCTAAAACCTCAACACTCTATTAAATGTTGGCACCGTGCCCACTGCGTGTCGAAGCGCCCGAGGATGCATCGATCCCGACAGCGAAGACACCGGCCAATATCCTCAGCGGAGAGGGTTACTGCCGGTTTAAGAAGGGTTTGCTTTCGGGTGTTGGTTCAAGTTGTATGCAGGGCTTCCGCCCTCAGCCTAAGCCTGGGTCCTTAGGCAGCAACCTTTAACCCAATCGGTAAACCAGTATACAAGCCGCGAAACAGTTGAGCCAGGGTTAGGACTTGAGGGCTAAGAGTTTTGCGTTAGGCCTTAAGGTTTAGGGTTTAAGGATTATTAAGGGTTTAGGGTTGCGGATTTTAGGGCTCAGAGTTTGGGGTTGGGGTTAGCGGGTTTCTAGATGTGGGAGTTTCCGAAAATTAGGGGTACCGTATTTGGGGGTCCTTATAAGAAGGATCCTACTATTTAGGGTACCATATTAGGGCTCCCTGCTTTCGGAAACTCCCATGTTTGTACAGGATGAGCATAGGAGATTAAAAGTTCTGATTCGGTGTTTCAATGTTTCGGGAAGCTGCTGAGATCAAGGAGTACACCCCCAACGGCCCAAATGCTGTGTTAATCCACCAGAATGATCTGCCTTTTGACTCCCTAAACCTAAACCCTATACCCTAAACCCTAGACCCTATACCCTAACCCCCTAAAACCCCTAAAAGAATGATCTGCCTTTTGGCTGGTTACCTGTTTTTGAGGGCCTCCTCCTGAACTCGAACTCCTCAGCCCCAATCTCTGCCTTCATTGAGGCAGCAGCCGAAGGGGAGCAAGCATCCAGTGCTTCAGCCCCTCGGACGTTTTCAGCTCTTGATGACACGCTACTCTAGGCTGCTGACAAGTACTCGCTTGCCTTTTTTGCTTTGTGGGCTCCCTTGTGGAAACCGAGTAGTAGGAAAAAGGGTACCCCTAGTATCCAGGGGCTATACTTGGCAACCTAGTAATGGGCCGTTTGGTCTTAGTCCTTTTGCAGGTTGACCGGCTGTTGAAGCTTTGGGGAGGTCAGAGGCTTCGAAGCTAAAGAGATACCAAGCTGATATGTACATACCTTGAGCGCATTCAGGGGAAGGATGTGGCGTTTCGGCACTTCGGTCACGGCTGCACACTTTCTTTTCTAGAGCCTTGTCGCTTCTTGATACTTCAGAAAGGTTTTGGACCAGAGATTTTAGCCCTTAGGTCCGTTCTGCGCGTGTTTCATGTCATGTTGGAGTCTTTCCCTGTCTCGCCGTGCGAGCTTCATGCAAAACTGTGCAGCCTTTCTGCACTCCTGCTGCGCATCGGTTCCGAGTGATTCCGAAGTAGAGCTTAGCGGTGCGGTGGCCCTGCCTCACCACGTGAGCTCATGGCAGAGACCGAGACCACTGTGGACAAAGAATGGCCAGAGAAAGCTCATACCGCTGGTAATGCTGGCGTCATGGTGGTAGGGCGATCTGCCTTGCATGGCGGTCTTCCAGCCGTGCTGCTGGGAGGCCGCTTCTATTTCAAGCGGAAACTTAGGGGTAATTAGAAATATTCTTTAATTTTTGGTTATTATAAATAGCTAAGGCTAAAATTATAATTTTTGCTAAGGTTCTAAGTTCAGTATAGGAAAGAGTACTTGTACACAGACTTCGGCGGTGGTGTGAACCGGAAGGACAAGGAATCCCCTCTTCTCGGTGCCTTCCGGGAGTTAGCGGAGGAGCTCTTCGCCGAAGACGAAGAGACGGCCAAGGTCACGGCCCAAGCCATCTCGGAAGGGGTCCGTTCACAGCTGCTGGGCGGCAGGCCTTTTATTTCTGGCGACTATGCGATGTTTGTGGTCAGCGCGGATGCTCTTGTTAGCAGCCTTGATATGGATCCTGGCGACTCTGCCATCGATCGGCTATTTGAGTATGCACGGTTTTTTGACAGCCATGGAAAGGCGAATCCCGAGCTCAGCTCTGTAGCCTTAATAAGCATCACAGAGCTCCTCCGAAGCGCCGCATGTGATGGCCTTCTCGCTCCTTTGCAAACAAGGCACTCAGGGAAGCCGGAGGCCAAGGGAGCCCCCGAGGTCATCAAGCTCCGGCCAGTGACCAGTTAGGCCTTTGAAGCTGTTTTGTCTTTTCCCTATAAGGCCTTCAGACGATCTTACGAATATGGTTGAGAGGCTTTGTTGGGGCAACCTAGGTGATGGTGGGCTGGAAAGGCTCCATCAGCGTCCTTCACAAGGTCCTGGAAGACTTTGCTTCCTCCCAGCACTCTGCGAACCCACCGACCGGCTCTTCTGGCTACACTGCTCCTGGTGCCCCTGCAGCTCCTACCAGGGTGGATGCCTCCTCCCAGAGCGCCCCGGCTGCTTCAACCAGGCGATGGCAAAAAAGCCGATGGAGTCCGTGGTTTGGTGCTGAGGGTTTAGGGTTTACGGCGGGGTTTAGGTTGTAGGGAACGCGAAATCAAAGCGCCCGAAAAAGTCACACCACCTCATGATTTGCTCGGTCCTGAAATCCGTCCTGCCGAAGACAACAGCGATCTGAGACCCGAAGACCACGAAACTTCTCCTCAAGCCAAATCACTGACGCAAGAAGAGCAATGCTAGAATAGACGGCTGGTCAAAGTCATACTGATAGGACGAATAGCATTGAATCTAACTCGTATATAGTAGCCGTCACAGCACTGCTATGCAGATAAAGCTGAAGTAGAATAGCTGTAAGGAATTTCATCCCTGACACCTAAAGCCTAAGCTTGAGATCCTGGGCCATAAACCAGGTTCCTGAGTAGTACTCTTTGGCCCTTTTTCTTGGAGGATCCGGGATAGTAAGAAAAATGGTATCCTTTTCATTGGCGGGCTACTCAAGGACCCAGTATCAGTAAATCGTGGACTCCAAGCCCCGGGGGGACACTGTTCTAAGGCCCCTCTCTTATACTACCATTAAAGACCCCTTAGAGTAGTAGCCCATATGTCCCCTTTACGGGAACCATGTTCTAATTACTAAGGCCCCTATGGTATACTTACTAAGTCATCCCCCTAAGAGCCTTGAGCTCCAGGCGAGCTCTACTTTGGACAGCTTTTACCGCCCGGAGGTCTGGTAGACAGGGTTTTGGATTTGTGAGGGTTTAGGGTTTAGGGTTTTGGATTCGTGGTTTAGGGCTTTATTTTCAATTTGTTGTGATGGCTATGGGTTGTCTGCCCCATTTGCTTGATGTGTTAGCTGTTTGGGTAGTGTTGGCACCAGGGCGTTTAGGGCTCTAGAGAAGGTGTTCTTAGTTGGGGTATTGGGTTTGCTTATGGTTTACGGTTGACACGTTTGGGTTATCCAGAGTTTAAGGGTGAGAGTATGGCTTCGGTGTAGGGGAGTTTGGGTGTTAAGGCGAGTGGTCAGAGAATCTTGAAGATTTGCTTTGGGGCGACGGGGGTCGGAGAGATTGGGGCGATGGGGTTGCAGGTACAAGGTCTGGGGTACAGGGCGCTTGTGTTGTAAATAGAGGTCTGGAGCCATTCCGCTTCAGCCGCTACACCATTATGGCACAAAACCTGCTATTCAGGCCCCTCGCTTAAAGAGCTGCTGCAGTGTCTGTGTTTAGGCGTTCAGGGTTTCGGGCAACGATGGCCCACACTGTACACCGGTCTTCACAAGATGCTTGAGAACATTCTGGGAGCTGAGGGTGTTCAGCTTGAGGGCCCAAGGTTAAGGTTTTGTAAGCACAGAACATCCACGCTCCGAACTTCGTGGTGACTTACATTTCGAAAACTAACCTAAGACCCAACCTTGAGATTTCAGCCTCGAAAGACCGTTAGAGTAAACCCCTAAAGCTCGAAGTCCTAATTCACACCAACCCACATACCTTCAGCCCTTAAGCCCTGCACCGAACTTTGAGTAGAGTGAAAGGCCTAATGCACCTTTGCAAGAGCGTAGCGGCCTAGGCCCAGTCCCGGAAGCTTTAGAGTTTAGGGCTTGCAGTTGAGGGAGCCCGAAATCTTAAACCCTAACACTAAGTCACTAGGCCCCCGAAAATCTCTGAAACCCCAAACCCCCAAGCCTAAATCGAAAAAGCCGCAGCCCAAACGCCCCCAGACCCTAAACCCCCAGAGCCTACAGCCCCTAAAGCTTCGGTAAAGGGGATCACGGGACTTAGTAAGTATAGGGTCACAAGTACGGAACAAATACTTGTACTTACTTATAGCCCGAACTAATGTACTTAAAACCTCAGTTACTTAAAACCTCACTTACTAAGTCCCATGATCACCCAACTAGACCCTAAGCCCCATTAGAACACTTTCAGGCTTCTATTCAGGAGCCTTTTAAGGAACCTTACTAACTCCCATGATCCTTTGAGTAGACCGTCAACCCTACACCCCTTATAGAACCCTTTACGGAGTCTTTTAAGGAAGCTTACTAGATCCCGTGAATGTGTCGGCTCCGATCCAGGTCGCGTCCTTGCCACCCTCTGAGCTTTGGCTTGGAGCCCCACAGGCCCGGTTGAGGGTTTTAGGGGCTTCTGAAAGGGTTCGAGGAAGGCTCCATAAGGGTTTGTTCTATAAGGGATCTATAAGGGATCTATAATTTTAGGAATTCAGGATTTTAAGGCTTTAGGGCCTTGATGGTTTTGGATTTGGCTTTGAGGGTTTGGGGGTTAGGGCCCTTGCAGGGCCTTTCTTTTGCAGCCTGCAGCTTTCAAGCTGGGCTGCAGGTTTACAGTTCAGGGACTCTGATTTGTGTTTAGTTTGGGTGCTGTGGGGTTTAGACCATGGGGTTTAGGCTTGTCTTGAGTTTCACGTTTAGGGTGTGACCCTCCTGAGCCCTCTTGGAGATATAGGCGCGATTCGGCGTTTAAAGCCAATTTTTGAAGCCGAAAGTTACCCTGAACCCTCAAACCCCAAAGACTTAAACCCCTTATAAAGCCCCTATGGATCCGGTACAGGAACGAACCCAAAAAGCTTAGAGGGCTCAGGGCTTCAAGCAGGTGTCGGCGCTGCTGCAGCAGCGCATCGTTCCGAAGCCCGAGAATCATGGCGAGAAGTTGGTGTTAAGGCTTAGGGGTTTAGGATTTTGGGGGGGTTTGGAGGTTGGGGTCCTGGGTGTTTGGGGTTTAGGGCTTTTGGGTTTGGGGTTGTGTTGATGATGATAAAGAGATGTTTTGAAGAGTGTCGATGGTTCACCTGCTATTGTGCTGACTCACGATGATTTGTGCAATGCTGCCGGTGACGAAAACTGTTGCGGAGCGGGGCCACATGGTTCAAGGTTCGATTCACGCCGCTTCGCGTCATCCTACGGTTATCTTTTCCGAGTTCCGCCATCCTCACCTCTGCTTGCTCAACCCGCAGCATCTTTGCGGCTCAAACACTGTTTCGAGCACTTAAACCGGCGAGGCTTTGGATATGTGAGTTTCCGAAAATAGGGGACCCTAATATAGCACCCTAAATAGTAGGATCCTTATTCTAAGGACCCCAAAATACGGTGCCCCTAATTCCGGAAACTCCCATATCTTCATCCCTTATAATCTCGACGATACTGGTATCATAATGTACCCCAAGCGCTATTATATTCTGACTATCAAGCTCCCGAGGCGTCCAATATAAGCACAATTCGAGGCAACGTCCATCGGAAAAAAAGCTCTGCAAACCCGCAGAACGAATTGTGTCCAGCAACTTCCCACTGTGACGACAGTATAGTGGAACGGATGAGCTTACTCAATCCAGGTTCCGGAATAAGCATCTGCATCGTCTGCAGCCGAAGGTTTGTTTGCTATGTCGCACAACGTTGCCATGTAAACGAACTCAACCGGAATAGAGTTTTAAATACATCACGGAACTGCCGCCTTATTCATGTTGCCGTTGCTGTTGGATGAACGAAACATGCTACGACCGTCAAGGCAGATCCTCTGCCCGATGAGAAGTCACGCAGACGAGACCTAGGAGAGCCACCGCGTTGGAAGAACGTGTGCAAAATTTGTTAAGTACCCTCACGGAACCCATGTAAAAACCTTCTAGAACCCTAATACGACCTTCAGAGAAATCCTACTGGCTGGAGAGAACACACACCAAGAAGTAAGCCCTAAATCCCAAAACCTTGAGCTCCTAAATCTAAACCCCAAAGCCCTTAACCCCTACATCGTGGGTTCTGCTTCTTTCAGATCCGAAGATCAAAATCTGCATTCGGCTCGATTTCAGCCGAGGCAGAAGCAGAAGTGTGGCATCCTGCCGATGGTGGCACCTCGTTGGGAAAACATTCTATCCATGTATGTATATATATATATATGTATGTACTATGTACACATCTAATTTAGGTTTGCATGTATACATACATACGTACGTACATACATACCCCTACACATATCATGTACACTATGTAGATACATCCACCAGATCTTGAGTGTCACTGTTCTCGACCGATCTCACAAGGATCTTCGCGAATAGCTGAAAGCCTAAACCCGGAATATACATGCTTGTACATCGACAGACTATGCTGGTATTCTCCTAGCTTTATGCTTGAATTCATTTTCGTGGAGTGTGTGGGACCATGGCCCGGGCCGGAATTCCGTTTCAGCTTCAAGGCTTTCAGGTCTTGCAACCCCAACTTCCTGCAGCAAGAAGTATCTCCGGCTGAGATATTCGCGATTTAGCAGTTTCGTGTTCAGGGGGCATCTTAAGGGCTTGGAACAAAAGGCTTTAGGGTTTAGGGTTCACAGACGTCTTGCTACAGGTCTCCGCTCACTCTGGATACGGCTGGCTTGCAGAGCATGGCTCCAGAAGCTTGCCGCCGGAGTGGCATGCAGCCCGAAGACTGCCAGTGGAAGACGTCAGCTCATCTCACAAGCTCGGCGGGAAGGTTTAAGCTTCCGGGTAAAGGGTGCCCTTGATGTTAAGATGCAAAGACTGGAGTACTTGAACCAGTACTTGAAGATCTCAACCAGTCAGCAGCACAAGCACAATACTTTCTCTGCAACACACATCGTTCTGTTACTTCAGGGAATATTCTTATCGGTTCAGGGGTTGTAGTAGAAACAATATAGCGCTTAGATATCGATCGATCTATCTGTCTAGCTACCTATCTATCCGTCTCCCCCTCTCTCTCCCTATCTCTCTTTGTATCTATCTGCTGTCAGTATCTCGATTCAAGGTGCATCTCTCTGTACTTGCTATTTATATTGGTATAAATTCCAGTCAGTCAATAATTGACATCATCTAACCCCTATATAATTTGCGATCATTCATCTAGAAAAAATATGGCTTTATCCCGAAATCTTGATCAATTGATCTTTGAATTTCTTATATTGAAATGATTACAAGAAAACATCGATCCGGGTATAGATATATCGAATAAAGAATAATGACCTCTATAAATAAATATAGGAGATAGGAGACTTTATTCATTGATATTGATAATTGAAATTTGAATGAAAATATTTGCTTATGAAGAATGGTTCGATAATAGAAATTTTTCTCTTAATAATTGATATATAACCTTATTTATATATATTCGAGACTCCTTTTTATCGAAGCAAGAAAAGATAGAGAAATAAGATACATCTAAAATATAAGAGAAATAAGATAAACCGAAAAAACAAGAATAGAGAAATAAATCAAATCGAATCGAAAAGAATATATAAATAAGAAGAATCGAAAAGAATAGAAAAGATATATAAGGCAAATGAAAAGAATAGAAGACTATAATGAATCTAAAGAGGATTAAGATAAATCGAAAAAGAAATAGGGGATATCGATAAAATTAATCGAAAAGAAGAAAATATAGAAATGATCGTTTCAATAATCTATATGATAATTTGAAATATCGGAATAAGAGATGAGCATTAGAAATATTTTGATATGAAAAAATAGCTACGTATATTTAAAAGTATTAATATTATGAAGAATAATTCGAAAAAATATTGATGATATTCGTATTTCTGAAAATTGATATTGAATTATGAAAAATTGATCTAATGAAATAGGATTGAAATATTATTATGATTCTAGGTATGATCTTGATAATTTCTTTTTGATTTCCGTATTTCTTCGTGATAATAATTTACGTGATTGATATTTGAGATTTTTTTCATATCTATTTCGTAGTCGTTTCGTCGTCGGCTCGTATTTGGAATCGTATTTGATACGTATCTGATTCGTGTTTGATTCATGTTCGTTTCGTCTTTGGATCGTAGATGGATTCGTATTTGGGATTTCGTATATTGAGGGATAAATTGATTCATATATATTGGGATTTGAATTGATTCATATTTGGAATGTATAAATTGAATATTTTAAATTCTGGTCATATATCTTAAGATTTTTCTAATTTTTATGATATTATATAAGATTGCCTTGTTGAGATTTATATTAATATCATATTAGATTATATTATATTAAAATATATTATATATATATATATATTTTTTTTTATTTATTTATATTTACTATTAATATATATATATATATTTTTTATATAATGCAAATAATCTAGATTTTTCTTCTTTTATTAGATTCTAATTACTAGTCGGGAAAGGATTCTAGAAGATTCTGGTGAATTTATCACATATTTGGGACTGCTCTCTTGAAGATTGAAATACGATTAAGTCTTGATTCTAGAGGATTCTATCGGACTAGGATTCTTGGTGATACGATTTATAATTAGGAATCTTTCTTGAAAGATTTTTCAAAATAAAAAATGATATCTCTAGAAAATTCTGCAAGGTTATTTAAGATCTCAAATTCTGATCTTTATTTAAGATTTTTCTTGAGAAGAGATTCCAAGAAATGAAATTCATTTAATATATCGACTAATATATACGAAACGAATTTAATATATATCGAGGATTAGAAATAAAGAAGATCTTATAAGAGATCGATTTTTTTATTCAAAATCCCGAAGTAATCCAAACCAAATTTACGTAACGGACGTTTATTTCCGAATTACGTATATTATATTATAATCTGTGAAACCTACGATTAATCTTGATTCCCGACCAAATATAATATCTGAGATTCTTATGAATAATATTTATTATTACAAGAAAAATTCTGATGAATCAAATTAAGTCGAATCATTATATATTGTCGAAATCCCGATTCAAATATTGAATAGATTCCAATATATCTGATTAAGAAAAAATTCTGAAGAAATTATGAATTAAAATATTTTTTCCGACATGAATTCCGAAATATTAAATCATAAGAATGATATTAGAACGCCTATTAAATTCAATTATATAAATTGATTTCCGAAATATTTATTTATCTAAATTAAATATAAAAAATAATAATTTTATAACGCGATACAATATTAAGTCTCTATTCTGATATTACGCAATATCCAATATATAATTCATAATATGTAATATATAATACTAGAGGTGGTCCGTTGTTTCCAGCAGCGGCCGAGTAGCAAACCCGTGAGATGGTTGTATTCTATATGAGCTCTTTTCATGGAAGACGGCACGGAGTAAGGAAATATATATTTATTTTTTACGTATGATGGTCCGTAATATTTTAATTGATCATATCTAGCCACCTCATATAAGTGGCATAATATATTAATTTTCCATTCGATCTTATAGTCGAAGATATAAATATATCTCTTAAATCCAGACGAGAATCCCCCCATATAATATAAAGAATCAAAGAATGAGAAAGGTATTGAGAAAGAGGAGAGGAAAAGGGACATAGAGAGAGAGAGATAGAGAGAAGATTAAAGAGAATAATAGAAAGAAAGATAGAGAGAATGATAGAGAGAAGAAGAATGAGAGATAGAGATAGATATAGAGAGAAAGAGAGAGAGAAAATGACATAGAGAGAGAAGAAAAGAGAGAGAGATATAGGGAGAAGTTCAGAGAAAGATAGAGATAGAGAGATAAAAAATAAGAGAGAGAGAGAGAGAACGAGATAGAGAAAGATAGAAAGAGAGATATAGAAAACGAGAAATAAAGAACGAAAGATATAGAGAGACGCAGAAAGAGAGATATATCGAAAGAGATATAGAGAGAGATATAAAGAGAGACCTAGATAGAGAGATCTAGATAGAGAGATATAGAAGGAGATATAGAGAGATCTAAAGGACGAGATATAGAGAGAGAGAGATATAGAGAGAGAGATATAGAGAGAGAGATATAGAGAGATATAGAAAGAAAAATATTTAGAGAGAGATATAGAGAGATATATAGAGAGATATATAGAGAGATATATAGAGAGATAAAGAGAGAGATATAGAGATAGAGAGAGAGAGATAGAAAGAGAGAGAGAGAGATAATTAGAGAGAGAACGAGATAGAGAGAGAGAGATATATAGAAAAAGAGAGAAGTATTTAGAGAGAGAGCGAGATAGAGAGAGATAGAAAGAGAGATATATAGAGAGATCCAGAGAGATAGAGAGAGAAGAGAACGATATAGAGAGAGATCCAAAGAGAAATATAGAGAGAGACCCAGAAAAAGATCTAGAGATAGATATAGAGATAAATATAGCAGATCATTTTATTCTCTTCTTAAAGAAGTTCATAATTTTTTTCTATGATATTTCCAGAGAATTTCATTTTTTTTCTTTAGAATATATCCAAAGTCTCGTATGAAAAGAAATAGAGCAAACCTCTATGAAATTGATCGAAAAATTCATAGAAATAAATGACCTAGCGATTACGCGTACAGACCAAATTCGTGACTTTTATTTATAAAAAAAGAATACATATATATATATATATATATCATATATATATAGATACATCATATCATATCTAATATAATCTATAAAAATATATTATGCAATATATTATAAATATTATATAATAATTTTATTTTCAAAATACGAAATCCGTAATATATATACCTCCAGAACATACACGCAACACACACATCACACACGACACACACGACACACACCACACACGCAACACACACAACACACACAACACACACAACACACACACAACGCACACAACACACACAACACACACAACCCACACAACCCACACAACACAATAAAAACACACACACAACACAACACACACACAACACACAACACACGCAACACATACACATCACACACATCACACACAACACGCACAACACACACAACACACACGACACACGCAACACACACACGCAACACACACAACACGCACACACACACACACACCACACACACCACACACACACCACACACACACACACACACACCACACACACCACACACACCACACACACCACACACACCACACACACCACACACACCACACACACCACACACACACCACACACACCACACACACCACACACACCACACACACCACACACACCACACACACCACACACACCACACACACCACACACACCACACACACCACACACACCACACACACCACACACACCACACACACCACACACACCACACACACCACACACACACCACACACACCACACACAACACACACACCACACACACCACACACACCACACACACAGCACAGAACACACAACGCGCAACACACACACCACACAGCACATAACACACAACACACACCACACAGCTCACAACACACACCACACAGCACAGCACACACAACTCAACACAACACACGCTCTGCACACACAGCATCACATCCTCTGGAAGGCTCCAGAGGGGTCATCAACTCGGTTATCACCATCCACAGTTATACTCATGTAGGGTTATCCGGTCCTGTAGTTATTCTTCTGTAGGAAGTATAGGGGGATTCCCCCAATAGATTGAAATTATCCATTTATTTTTCGATCATATCTGAGTTCAATACGAATATATGTAATATTAAGTTTATGAAATGTTTAATTCGATTATATGTTCGAAACGTTCTTATATATCTCTATTGCCACGTAC